GCGTTCTTCGGGCCCTGAGCCTCGGCCTTCAGCCTATCGCTCTTGCTGCGAAATGGCTTCCGGCAGTCCTCACGCCAGTGACCACGCTCCCCGCAATTTGAGCAACGTGATCTCTTCTTGAAGTCATCTCTCGTCACCTTCTTAGTCCTGCCGTCCGTGCGTCTGCGATCGAAGAAGTCACGATCGAGCCTCTTTGCGTTCTTCAGCTGCTTGGACTCCTGCCACGTTCGACGGCGTTGTGGAGCCGTCGTCTCACCAAAAGCCTGCACTATCTCGTCTTCGTCCAGATCTTGTTCGTCCAGAGCTACTAATATCACGTTCAGCTCGTCTTCGTCAAACTCGGCCTCATACAAACCGTAGATGCCGTGCTCGTCGTCGTCCTCGCCTGACCCGACGTGGTAGGTTCTCGCCGTTGAAATTGCTGGAGTCGGGAGCGTGTTCTTTTCCACCACGTCGAGCTCCAGCAAGGCCCGCTTCACCGCGGCAGCACTCTTGTCGGAACCCATAATCGTTCTCAGGTTGATTTTGTTCTGGGCGCTGAGCATCGCGCCTTCTTCCAGGTATCGGGCCAGCACCGCATCTGGGAGAGTCAAACCATATCGAGCGGCCGTAGCCACCTGCTGATCTCGTCGAACAACGTAGTCCGTGAGCTTTTCTCCCTTGTGCAGCCCGTAGTCGAAGAGCGCCTTGTTGTGTGCCTCTCTCTCCTTGTCTCCCGGGCGTTATCCGTTGAGTAACTCGAGATGGCTGACGAGCCTGCTGAGTCCAGGATCTAGATCTTGTCGCACGCCTTCGAACTTGCCCTGCAAGTCAATCGGCAGGGTCTCTAGTACACGTCCTGCTCGAGCCTCTTCTGCGTAGCCCGTGCGCCTCTCCCAGGAGCGCAAGTTGGCCACGTAGATCTTCAGATGGTCCATCCCGGGCCACGCTGGCGGCGCCGAGAAGTCACGGCTGGGCTGGTCTCGCTTGACAGGCCAGAGTGCTGTGCGACTGTCCCACCAGTCATCGCACTCCCAATCCCATCCTGTCTCGTCTGACCAAGACCAGCCTCTCCAGGACCACCACCCTCGTCCCCAGGTCGGATCCTGTTCTCCCGTGGGGTCGTCGGTCTGATTTCTCGTGCCGTCTTGGAAGCCTGACACTGCTCCGGCGGCCCCTGAAGCCTCTGCAGCGTCCCTTTGCTCTCCCTCTGCGGCCTCGTCCACGCTCCGGCTACCATTGTTAGAAGACATGAGAGCGACAAGGATACATGGGATGCAGAGAGATCTTTTCAGTCGGCCCCGGAGGTCCCGGGCAGTACGCACGCTCCTCGTGCGTGCACGCATCTAAGCCAAAATGGCTGTGGCAAACCCATCAGCAATCCTATCTGTACCAAAGAGCATTGGGGGTGGGGTGGAGAAACACGACACTTGTAAAGGATGATCCGTGCTGTGATGTTAGCATTTAAAGAACATCTCCGTTGTGGTGTTGTTCGTCAACCTTGTAAAGGCCTTTGATCGTGGTATTCGTGAACTGGTCTTCGGCTGGGGACCTAATCCTCCTGCCTCTCATGCCCTCGGCATTGCAGATGGCTCCGTGGAGCGGATCCTCCGCTATCTTGCTCAGCGCGGCCCGCTGTTTGACCAGTGGGAGGTTGACTCAGGAGTGGCTGACCTCTGCCAATCATTGAATGCAAGTGATTGGTTTGGGGTGGCTGGGACGGAGGCCCGGGTGTTGAGTCGGACGGGGGGGCGACAAGTGTGTAAGCTCGGCGCTCTCACGTTTAACGCTGTGTACGCGATTGTCCTTGATCTCATGTCTTGGACTTTAGAGCAGGCTGGAGTTACTCTGCGGGTCCCAGTCCCAAAGACACCATTTGGGTCCCTGCGGCGGTCGCAAGGTATGAGCCTGACCCAGTCTCGGTGGTAGATACAGCGTTTGTTGACGACGAGTGTTTTGTGTTCATGGCGGCGTCTGAGAAACTCCTGGACCAGGCCATAGACGTGCTCCTGCGTCAGCTTTCCGGGGCGTTTGAAAACCCCCACCTCGAGCTCAATTGTAAGCCAGGCAAGACTGAAGCCCTCTTGAACTACGGGGCTATCAGGCTGTGCAGTTGCGCGAGGCTCGCCGTTGTGCCGACGGCAAACTTCGTCTCCAAGTCCCTGATCGTCCGGGGGTTGCCATCGACGTCGTGCAGAGCTACGTTGATTTAGGCACCCACGCGAATGTTGACGGGCCATGTTCCCAGAACGCCACCCGCAGGTGTTCTAGTGCCATGGCCGCGTATGCTCCATTGTCTTCCAAGATTTCCGGGGCAGAGTGTGTGCCCAGGCCTCACAAGATATTTGTCATGACCTCACTTGTGTTGTCTCGTTGGCTGCTCTCCGTTTTTGACATTGTTCCGAACCCGCGGTGAAACAACTCAACAGTGTGTACATGAGAGTTTTGTGCAGGATCATTGGCGACTCTCGTTTTTCGGAGGACGTGAAGTGGAGCGACCTTGAAGTCCGTCAGCGGTTGGGTCAACCGTCAATCGACTGTTTGATCGCACATGGCCGTCTGCTGCTCTGGAGGAGGCATGTCGGGAATCGCCCTCGAGTCCTCCTCTCCCTCCTCCATGTGCGGGTGAAGGACAAGCCTCTCCCCTGGGTGCAGCGCCTCCTGGACGATGCTGCCCTGTTGCGGAAGCTGGTGCTCCCCGCGACCGGTACAAGTGGCGCCGGCGCGCATGGTCACTCCAGTTTCCCGTCGCCGACAGAAGACCCTGCACACTGGGACTGGCTGCTCCAGGACGAGAAGGGGTGGAGCCATCTCGTCAGCCAGCTGTCGTTTGTTGAGTCCGTGTGTGATCCCGAGGCTCCCTCGACCACCCCCTCCTCCGCCTTGGCGTGGACATGCGCGGCGTGTCGACTGTTGTTCTCCGAACGTGCGCTCCGCAGCCACAGGCGAGCTAAGCACGGCGAGCGAACAATTATTCGTACATTTCTGCCTGATGCCACGAGTCCGTGTTGCCAGACAGACTTCCGGCAGCGCCTGCGTCTCCTCGCACATGTATCCGACGCGCGTCGCCCAAGGTGCCGCGATGAGATTCTGCAGAACTGCTCGCGCCTCCCTGCCTCGGAGGTGTCTCGCCTCGACGCTGCTGACCAGCAGCTCGGGCGCGCCGCCCAGAAAGCAGGGAAGGGCCGCTATATTGCATTGCTGATGGTGCTGCTCGGGCGTCGACTGGGCGAATCGTCGGTCGAATCGCGTCTTAACGCGTTTTCCTTAGTAACTGGCATGACTCGCGGCGCCCATCCTTGGCCATAGATATGTATATATATATATATATATACATGTATATGTATATCTATATGCACACACATAGATGTGTACATAAACACATATGCACATACATATGTGTATACATATGTGTATATACATATATATACACAACTATACATTGGTTTGGATATATTCGAATATGTGTTATCTGTATATCTCCAGGGGCGAGGCCTGGGCCCGACTGACCGGTTTGACCCCCCGGGTGGGGACACAGGCGGTTCCCTTCGGGCTTCGGTGGTGTGTAATCTCCAGCTGGGGTGCTGAGATGGTGGGGGTGTGGATAGGGGTGGGGGCGGGGATAGAGTGGAGGCCAGTCCACAAGAAACCTTCCACGGCAAAACCATCGAAACCCAAGAAACCCAGGGCACCCTGGAGGCAAGCAGGGTGTTTCTTGGCATGGGCCTCCACTGTAGGGGTCGGATTGGCAGCACTGGTTTCAGACTGACGAGCAGGGCGGGCTTCCTGCCTCAGCAGCCACCGTCGGGGCGAGAATGCCAGCCACGCCTTTCGAAAGCTGGGTTTTAGCACGTCTTGATGAGACAGGAGATGCAGGGCACGGGGGATGATGATGATGATGATGATGATGATGATGATGATGATGGTGATGATGCTGATGATGATGATGATGAAGATGATGATGATGAAGATGCAGATGAAGATGAAGATGAAGATGAAGATGATGATGATGATGATGATGATGATGATGATGAGGAGGAGGAGGAGGAGGAGGAGGAGGAAGAGGAGGAGGAGCGGCACTGATTGAAAGGAAAAGGGGATAAGGGGACGGGATCAGCCCGCAAGCCGCGGCGAGGGCGCCTAATTAGGGGTCTTGTCCGCTGGTGGAACAAAGGCAGGCCAGGGCCCGAGGTTGCTCGCCGTGAGCGGCGGCATGTGGTCCGCACCCGCGCCGCCAAGAGATCCCGAGTGGCGGCAGGGGAGGGGGGGTGGAAGGAGAGCGGAGCGACTCAACCAAAGCAATGCAGAGCACTGATAGCAGCGACAGCAGCGAGCACTCAGTCAGGGTCGGACGGGGAGGGGTGGGGGAGGAAGAGAGCGAGAGGATGCGTCCCCAACTCTTCCGGCAGTATCCGAGTACGTTCCTGAGGGAATTCGAGCGTCACAGGGCACACAGCGTAGTGCAGCAGATCATCTCTTCCCACCGCCAAGCAGCCCATTCTGCGCCTCTCCGCCCCGCACCAATACCTCGCCGTCGGAGGGAGAGGAGGAGGAGGAGGAGGAGGAGGAGGAGGAGGAGGAGGAGGAGGAGGAGGAGAAGGGAGAGGAGGAGGAGGAGGAGAAAGACGAGGACGAGGACAGAGGAGGGGGATCCGGAATGATACCGCGATGCCCTGAGATCCTGGCGCTGCAATTTCTCCACCACGGGCGGCTTCGCCCAGCTTCTGGCCCCAGGGCCCTCCGACCGATCCGGCTCGAAACGGAGGGAGACACCTGGGTCCGGGGGCTTCAGTCGGCAGTGGACAGACCTCCCTTTAGTAAACCTCCCCTTAGTGAAAACGGCCTGGGACCGAAACCGACGGACCTGGACCCGCAAAAATGACGGCCGCGACGCCCTCTCGCGAACCGAAAACGGCCAATTCGCTAATGGCCGCGTCAGGGTAGGAGGTCTGTCCACCCTCGATTCAGTCGTGATTGTTTGCGACGCTGTATTTTTTGCGGCGTCGGCTCTCATGGCCGTATCACTCGGTGAGCGGTGAGCGGTGGCCGCGCGGGCGTCCTCGCGAGGGGACTGAGCGGGGCAGGGCTGGCGCGCACACGAGCACGCAGTGGACTGCCGTATGAAGAAACGAGTGGCCAGCAGGTGTTCTTGGAGTCTGCAGAGCTATTGGGGAAACCACAAGGTAACGATACCGCCACACCCCAGACCTCTCCCGGGGTGCGTTCTGGCCAGAACTTCGAGGCATATCCAGCGGTGGCGACGAGAACCTCCCAGGAGGCCCAAAAGAGGGAAAAGGGCCAAAGGGTAGAGGTATGGGTACGTTTTCCTCCTCTGAGCTATGCTCCAGCTCACTCCAGGCATCGGCATCAGCAGCAAGGCCCGATCGTGTCTGCACATGCTGACGAAATTAACTGCGTCGTCGACCCACCGTTTTTTTGGTCTTGCCTGTCTGGGAGCTGGATTTTGGGCTTCTGCGCGTAGGGCTGTAACTTAGTATCTGGAATGCTTGAAACCACGGCTGGAGTTTTGATGCAGAGGCCCCGGTGCTACTTTTAAACCCTCCTGGAATATCAGGGGGAATGTCGCTAAAGGCTTAACGACTTCTGCCGTCCTTCGACTCGCGCTGGAGCGGCCGCTGGATTTGCCTCGATTGATCTGCATCTACCTGGATTTCTCTGGCTCGATCCCCACACGTCGGTTGGCGAAAAGTCGTCAGGCCCTTAGGGATCAAGCCCTCGTGGAACATCAGGGAGGCGGGGGGGCACCGCCGCTTCGGCCCAGGCCACGGAGCTCAGCACAGCGAGGACATCCTGAGACCTACGACGCAACCAAGATTGGCACAACATGCCCTCCTCCTCCTCCTCCTCCTCCTCCTCCTCCTCCTCCTCCGCCTCCGCCTCCTCCTCCTCCTCCGCCTCCTCCTCCTCCTCCGCCTCCTCCTCCTCCTCCGCCTCCTCCTCCTCCTCCGCCTCCTCCTCCTCCTCCTTGGACCGGGCTGCATCAGGGATCTCTCGGGGCTCCGGCAACTCTGGAGGGGACGCAGCGGGCGCCGCGGCCGTTCCGCGGAGCGCTTCGGGACGCTCTGAGAGCGCTTCCAAAAACGCTCTGGAATGATGTATCCCGGTCCAGGCGTGAGGGGCACCGATAGGGGGGGATAGGCGTAGGGGGGTATGCATCGACCTGGAATCGGCGATACATCGTCGATAGATCGGCGATAGGCTCCCGATGGTGAATCCGCACCTTCCTGCGCGGGGGGTGGGGCTATCGGGTCCCTATCGGCGATCGATTTGCGATTGGGTGTCAGTGCGTCCCCCATTGTGCCACACCCCCCTACCGTTGCCCCTGATAACGCCCGAAGACCCTAGAAACCGTTGCCAAACATTGCAGCGCCGTGAACAAAGAAAACCGTGGCGAAAGCCCTAGCAGACCCCGTCGCGCTGCGGCATCTCTCGAGCGGGATCGATCCGCAAGGACACCACTGACAGGACTCTTCTGGCAATGAATCGGCCTCCTGCGGCCACCGCCTGGCCCCGTGGGGCTGTCAAACATCGGCTCGTGTCGAAAAGCCGGTCCCCAGGCCTCTGGGGAGCCTCTTGGATCGCTGTTGTGTTCGGGGCGCGCCAGGGTCGGCGCCCGAGGCGCCGCCAAGTTCGGTGGCAACTCACGGGAGCCTCCCGTACCATCTTGTCGGCTCTTGCGAATCGACGCTAGTCGACGATACATCGACGCTGGCTCGACGCTATTCGACGATACACCAACGCTAATCGACTCTCATCGACGCTGAATTAACGCTATCTCATCGACTCCCAGATGTTAATCGGCGCTTGTCGACGCGAAAGACGGAATCAAGAGGTATACCAGGCTCCCATGACTTGCTACCGAAAATAAATCCACGCGGACCTCCGAGAATCGACGGGTCTGCCGTTGTCTGTTCTGCTAAGCTGCGTGTCCAGTCGTGGCCACTCGGGCCCACGAGGGCGGATAATTTCTGTTGTCGGCCACGACGCGAACGCACGGCACGTCGGACGACAACAACCCCGAATAAAACAACACCGATCGCGCACCGAGGCGAAACGGAAAAATACAGTCAACCCGTGTAGTAAGCATGCGCGATGAGGATGCAAGGGCTTTGGACGACCAATTCGAAGCTTTTCGAGCGGGGCGCGGCCAACGAGAGTGGCCAAGTATGGACCGAGGAGGCAAGGATGCAAGGGTACCCTTGGGAAGGGTGCCCACCCTTACTGTGGGGGTTGACTGTGAGAGGGCGGCCAAGCGCGCAGGCAGACGGAGCAGGCAAAAGAACAGCCTAGGACGTCAGAAACCCCCTCCTCGTTTCCTGATGAGGGGCAACGATGCGGGGACTGGCTCGGGGGGACCATCGACCTGGAATCGGCGATCCATCGCCGATAGATCGGCGATGGGCTCTGGATAGCGAGTCTTCGAGCTTCTGGGCCGCTATAGGCGATCAGCGGGCCATTGGGGTTCGACGCACTCCTCCCTGAACCCATATACTTATGGAAGCCCGAAATGGCTACGGAAAAAATTGGTACAATACCCAACATCAAATGTTGTCCCAAACCGACAGCGGCCGCTGTTGGGCAGGCGGCCTTCTCTCAAATGGACACAGGCCGCGGCGGCGCGGACAGAGAGTCCTGTTCAAAATGAACAAGAACTGCTGTTGGGCATCGTACCCACTCTTTCCGTGCCCATTTCGTCCGTGCCGACGTATACCTTCAACGTTGGCCCCTGCAAAATGAGTCATTCCTCAATTCCCCCGCGGCCCTTCGGGTCGACCCGGGCACCCCCGAAACGCTCTCGGCGAGGCGCGGCTGCTGGACGGCCCCCCGTGGCTGGAAGCTCGCCGAGGACCGGCGGCAATGCCAGAAGAGCGCCCGGAGACCTGGAGCCCCCCCACCTGGGGAGCCCAGCAGTCGGCCGCTGTCGCAGGCCGAGAGGTTGACACCAACACCAAGATCGGCGGTGTGCCTCCACCGAGGGAAGAAGATCCCGATCTCGGTGATGGTGGTAATATTCTGGCTTCCAAGGTGGCCGAAATATTACCACCAACACCGAAATCTAGGATCATCCCCCCCTGGTGGAGGCAACCCCCTGTGTTGGTGTTGGTGCCCATTTCCAAGCCTCCGACGCTGGGCCTCTCCAGGGGTGCGCTCTGACCAGGACTCCGAGAAGCGGACCCAGCCCCGGCCACGAGGGGGCATATTCCCGGGGACGAGCAGGAGAGGCCCAGGGAGCGGACCTCGAGCCTCGAAGCTCGACCCCCCCCCCCAGCCCTCCCCCTCCTCCTCCACACCTGGCCTCCTGCCCCGCCCCCCCCCCAGGAGGAGGAGGCGGAGGAGGCGGAGGAGGAGGAGGAGGAGGAGGAGGAGGAGGCGGAGCCGGAGGAGGAGGAGGAGGAGGAGGAGGAGGAGGAGGAGGAGGAGGAGGCGGAGGAGGCGGAGGAGGAGGAGGAGGAGGGAGGAGGAGGAGGAGAGGAGGAAGGGAGGAGGAGGAGGGGGGGGGGAGGGAGGAGGGAGGGAGGAAGGGAGGGAGGGAGGGAGGGAGGGAGGGAGAGAGAGAGAGAGAGAGAGAGTCCCCGCCCCCCCCCTCCGCCCAGCCTGCACGGGCGAGCACGTCCCGCGCCGCGGCCGCCGCAGCGTCCGCCCGCAGCCAGGAGAACACGTTGCCCCAGCCAGGGGCTGCCCCGGGACTCGCTCCTCCCCTAAGGACGAGGATGACGTCACGATTCGATTGGCGCAGGATGCCTTCCAGGATTCCCAAGGAGTAGCAGGCATCCTGTTTCTGCAGCCCGTGCGGGGCATTCGATGATCTTGGGAATCCTGGAGAATCTTGGAACGCATCGGACAATGATATTTGATTTCCCCCCGTAATGTCCGTGCCAGGGCGGGGGTGGGGTCCAACCTCCGCCAGGCAATAACGTTAACGTGGCGGATGCGGGAATAGAAGTGATCACAGCCGCATATGTAAAGGTAGTTGTCGCAGGAATAATGATATACATTATTCACTGCGTGCAGCGCCCCCGATGTGCATCTATTAGCATGGACCTGTTCACGTTGAGTGTCTAGGCGGAAGAATTTTCGAATATAAACGGGCTCAAGTATTGACGGACTGGGAGTGAATCTAACTGTGAATGAGTTGGAGTGTGAACGAGTCTCAATAGCTTCAGTGCGTCTCTGCGCATGAGGCTAGGGCCTCCTGGGCCTTGGGCTTCCTGGGGCCTCCTGAAGCCTCCTGGGGCCTCGTGTGGCCTCCTGGGGCCTCCTGGAGGGGATACGTGCCCCAGGAGAGGCCCGATCTATAGGAGCACACGTGACAATGAATATGAAACCGAGTGCGGAATAGCTGACTATGAGCGGATTTGAATGAAGACACATCTGAGTGTGCATGCATCTGAGTATTACTGAATTTGAGCATGTCTGATATGAGTCTGAGTCTGAGTGCGAATGCATCTGAGTGTGAATGAGTCAAGGTAAGAATGAAGAATAAACCGAGTGTGACACGTGAGGTCGACACATCCTTGTGACAACCATAAATTCCATAACTACTTAAGATACGGGAGACAAGCCTGGCTCTGTTCGATGTGCCTGCTGGGACTCCTCGGCCGCTGGCATCCGTTAGAGCCTGAAACCTTGCTGGGCCGACGGAACCCGAGCTCTACTCGACGAGCGCGTTCCACTACTCGCAAAGTAACCACTCGCAAATGGCCTGGATCCGCCGCGGGGGATCTGGGATCAACTACATCGAAGCAGGCATGTGTTTGTCGGACCTTTGCGAGTAGGCACTTTGCGAGTAATGGCACGCGCTCGGTGATCTACAGGCAAGGGTCACATGCCGTGGCCTGGCCGCGGGAGCTTGCCTGGGCCACCGTGCCCCACAATCTTCCGGCAGCGCCCCATAAAAACCACGGAGCATTCTGGGATCGAGCGACGAGGTGTTTGGACGTTGCTGTTGTTTGCCGGGCAAAACTTTAGAGGCCTCCTAGATGGGGTCCGAGTAGATGGGCTCGGAAGATCGCACCGCATCGTTAATGCATCGCCGATGCATCAGCGATGCATCGGCGATGCATCGGCGATACATCGGCGACGCATCCGCGACGTCGGCGTGGGGAAACACGAGCTCCGCATCGAGCCGCATTGTCGATGCATCGGCGATGCGGCGTGACCCTCCGGCCCCACCTGCTCGGACCCCATCCATCGGCGGTGGACAAACCTTCCTTCACTAAACCTCCCCTTAGTGAAAACGGCCTCTTGCCGTCGCTCGGACGTCCATTTCCCGTGCATTGTTCGGTTTCGTGCGTGTTTCTTTTTTGCTCGACGGTCCAGGATGGTCCTCGATGGTTCTCGGCGAGAAACAATGCACACGTCCGAGCGATGCCAAGGCCCGGGCCCGAAACCGACGGACCCGGACCCGCAGAAGGGACGGCCGCGACGCCCTCCCGCGAGCCGAAACCGGCCGATTCGCCAGTCGACGTGCCAGGGCAGGGGGTCCGTCCGCCTCCGAATCCTAGAACAGAAACCCGAGGTGATAAAACAAGACGGTCCCAACCAGAAATTTTCTAAGAACATTTCGTGGAGGAGGAGGAGGCGGAGGAGGAGGAGGAGGGGGAGGAGGAGGAGCAGGAGGAGGAGGAGGAGGAGGAGGAGGAGGGGAGGAGGAGGAGGAGGAGGAGGAGGAGGAGGAGGAGGAGGGGGAGGAGGAGGAGGGAGGAGGAGGAGGAGGAGGAGGAGGAGGAGGGGTCCTTGACCCCGGGAGGCCCAGCACCTCTGCGCTGGAGACGCCTCCCGGCCACGTGCCGAGGCCCGCGCCCCGCCGAAGAGCTCGGAAGAGAGGCCTCCCCCCTCGGAGGGGCCGCGCGGGCGCGGCGCCCCGGGACTGCTCCAAAAGTGCGCCCACGCACGTGGCCTCCCTTGTGGAGTCGGGTTCTTGATTGGAGAGGACACGCGAGGGGACACTATAGGGGAACAAAAAGTGGCACAAACACAAAAACTCTGAGGTCCGCGTGGATTTCTCGCATCGGCGCTGGGGGCCCCCGGCGGCCTTTCGGCGCCGCCCCTGGCGCGCTCCGCGCGCCAGGGAGGGGGGTCCAGCGCCGATCCGAGAAATCCGCGCGGACATCCGAGTTTTTATGTTTATGTCACTTTTTGTTCTCCTAGACACGAGACCCTTCCGAGGGCCACGTCGCCACAGAAATGCAGAAGGCATGGGTCGCAAGACACGGGACGCGAGGGTACCCTTGATCTGGCAGGGTCGACCTACTAATCAAGGTCGCCTGTAAGGCCGGCGCTGCCGGCCCTCGGGGATCTACGGACCTGGGATTCGATCCAGACCCGGGTCAACCAGGCCTAACATTGGGTCGGGCATATCCCTCTACAGGAGGACCATTCAAAAAAAACAGAAAAGGATATGGGGATGCTTTTTCTACCATTTGTGAATATTTTCTAATAAATTCTGACTATTTCAAGTTAGTCGTCCAAAATCCGCCTGTAGGAGGACATGCTCGACCCAAGCCTATGCAAGCCCGGGTCAGTGCACCCCTGGCTCCGCAAGATCCTGCAAGATCCCGCGCTCTGGCTGACCCCTGTTTGCATGGACCCCGGTCTCGAGGCTCCCCTCATTTGCCAGGCTGATGCAGTCGGACTTAGGACAGAAGAACGTCCTCAAGAATACGAGAACATCCGCCAGCCAAACTGTGGAACATTCGAGGGTGCCCACCCCTCGGACGCTCAAGGACATCCAACAAGCACGAAGGACATGAGGGTACCCTCCCCAAGCCGACCTCGGCTTTTGGGGGAAACCAAGAGGTACCGACACCGCTACTCCCCGGATCTCTCCCGGGGTGCGCTCTGACAAGGACTTCTAGGCGAATCCAACGGGGAAGACGAGGGCCTCTCAGGAGGCCCAGAAAGGGGGAAACAGGCGGAGGTGTAGATCTATGGGTACCTGTTCCTCCTCTGACTGATGCCTCGGTCCGGCTGCAGTGCCGGCCCGTATTCCGAGACGCGCCCAGCCGTGGCTGCGAGGCGGGTCGGTCCCGACAGATCCCCGGCAGGCTCCCCAGGGGGTCCCGGGGGGCATCAGCCCCTGGACGGAGCTGTCCGCATGCTTCGAGTATCGACCACAGAACTGATGTAGCCCAAGATTGATCTGTTCGTCAAATCTGCGGAGAATAGGTTGACTGCTCGCGGAAATGTGCGGCCCCACTGCAAAGTTTGAAACTGCAGCTTCGACGAAGAAACCAAGATTGGGGTGCGTACATCATCACTCCCACCAGCCCTCTGGGCGGCAGGTGGTCTAAGGAGGGTCTCTTTCCTCATCCATAACCCCTCTTCCCTTCGGAGAGGGGAACCCTCCCCCTCCCCTCCCCGAAGTTTTCTGGGAGGGGACCGATGTGTCAGAGGGTTTTTTGTTCGGCCCCTGGGAGGGCCAATGTCTGACACCCCTCACGAAGATCGTTGCCCCCGAGGGGAGGGAAATCGAGGACCCCCCCTCTTTTGACGGACCGCCTCCAAGATGGCCCCCAGAGACCCCCCAGGGCTCCGAGGCCCGCAAGAGGGCTCCAAGAGCGTCCCCAGGAGGCCCCAAGAGGTCTCCAAAAGAGGCCCCCGAGCGGCCTCAGAGAGCGCAAGATGACCTCCAAGATGGTTCAATATAGCCCAAGCTGCTTCAAGATGGCTCCAAAAATGCTCCAAGAGGCCCCGAGACCGCTCCAAGACGGCTCGAGATGGCCAGCATATTCAGACGTCCAGGGCTTCTGAATGGGCTGACTATGCGTGTCTCTTCCTCTCTTTCCCCACCTCAGCTCTCACATGGACATCCTTTCTGGATGGGCTGGTGGAGATACGCGACGCGTCAAGAATTTTGTAGCCGACCCCCTACTCGAATCCTCGAGGCCGTGCAGCGGAGGAACGACGAAAAGGCGGCGGCGAATCTGCACATGTCCGGGTCGACTGAGCATCAACAGCGATGGACGCAGGGCGCCGAAGGGCACGGTGCCCTGGTCGGTATCAAAACGGGCGGAGGTGCCCTTTCCTAACGACCGAAGTGGGGACATCTCGGTCGAAGCACGGGGTCTAGAAGCCTGCACTCGCCTGAGACACCAAGTCAAGAACCCGGCAGAGGACCGACGACGAGAGGTGGCCGAGGACCCCGCGCGCCCGCTGCATCCCTGCCCGCATCTCTGACACATTCGGGCGAATCTGCCCGCACCCTTGAGCTGGAGGTGGACCAACCCTCCCCAGATCCTGTGCTGGTGCCATAGTCCCTGGTGAAGGGTATCCTGGCCGCGCAGACGACGACGACGAAGACGACGATGACGACGACGACCACGACGACCACGAGGACGACGACCAGGGAGACGACGGCGGCGACGGCGACCACCACGGGCACGAGGACGACCACACCGACCACGACAGGGGCTGCGGCGACGACCGACGACTGTCTCCAGACTCGAGGACTTGGGATGCCTCCAGGGGTCCAGAGAGAGAGAGAGAGCGTGCTTTTCCCTGGCGATGGACGACAGGTCAGGTTACGTTACTTGCATGGCATCTTGACCTTGCCCCCCCCCCGACTCCGCCGCCTCTGAGCACACTGCTGCGTCGAAACAGGGTGCACAAGCGACAAGCGAATGCCGACTTGCGTGAAGTCTGGAACTCCTTCGGCAACCCGCGTGGTCACACCCCCTTAGGACAACAACAGCCGCATACAGTAGGGGCCCGACCACAAGAAACCTTCCACCAGAAACCCAACCCTGGAACCACAGGACGTCCACTGCTTTTTGGTGTGGGAACGTCACGCTTCCCAGTAGCAAGACTAGCGAAACCCGGGAAACCCAGGGCACCCTGGGGGCAAGCAGGGTGCTTCTTGACATTGGCCTCCCCTGCAATCACTTTTGATCCGCGGGTCGAGAGCGCACCTCGTCCGGTCGAAGCTAAGCGGGCCGCGCGAAGCTTCAATTAGGCGGAGAAGAGGAGGGAGGAAGCGGCGGAGCCTCAGAGCGAGGCCGGGAGGAGGCATCCTCCCCTGTAATCACGCACCTTCCAGAAGTCGTTGCCGATCCTCTCGAGTCGGCGCTGGACCCCCCCCCTCCCCCGGCACGCGGAGCGCGCTGGAGGGCCAGCTCCAGAGCCGCGGCCATGGGGGCCCAGCGCCGGCCCGAGCGCTCCGCGCGGCCCTTTGAAGACGCGGGCCCCCGCGTTCGCGGGGTGAGCGTTGTCTTGCTCGGCGCTTCGGCATCGGGCGGAAAGGGGGGGGGGAGCTGGCTCCAGACCTCTGCTTACAGCGCGGCTGCTTGCGACAGCGCGTGATTTGAGGGGGGAGGCTCCACCTGCTCGAAACAGGCGCCAAAAAACAGCCAACATCTACTCTTAAGTCGGGCCAGTCCCCCTACAGGGGGATTTTCAACGAAAAATAAAAGATGCCACAAAAATAAAAACAAAAAAATCTAAAAATAGTTTGGGGACTATGTTTTGAATATTTGTTGACCTTTTGGGGCTATTTTGGGGGTATTTTTATTTTTCGTAGAAAATCCCCCTGTACGGGGACACGCCCGACATAAATCTACTCCATGGGGGAGGGAGGGGGGGGGGGGGGCGAGGGCCCGCGCCGATCGGCAAAACAGTGAATAAGAAACCGATCACCAGACGTCCGACGTCGTACTGTTCCGCATCGCGGGGCCCGAAAATCCGCCGACCCTGTCGTCGTGTGAGAGGAGCTCTTTCACTCGTTGCTGCTTCACTCGTCGTCTCTTCGTCGTCGTCGTCGTCGTCGTCGCCGCCGTCGCCTTTCTCGGCTTTCTCCTGGGTCTTCTTCTCCAACGCGCCAGCCGTTGCCTCTCTTACCCCAGGCCTTTCTCTTCAAGCGAGCTAACCAAAACGACAATAACGAACGTCGCAACTCATTCGAAGGGAAACCTCTTCCCTTGATCCCTTCCCCGCGGGGGGGGCGAGGTCCTGGGGGGGGGTCCCAGGCCAGAATGCCCCCCCACCCTCCGGGGATCCCAAAGACCCAAACCCCCGAAGACGAACCGAGACGGCTCCAAGAGGCCCCCATGGACGGTCCAGGAGGGCCCCGGACCGCCGATCGACCGGTCCGAGACGCCCACGTGGCCTCCAGACGGCCCGAGAGGCTTCTTCGGCGAGGCGACGCGCTGCGGCCCTGCTTCCGGCCCTGCTTTTCTGAAGGTGCCCAAGGACACACATATAAATACACACAAATAACAAGATTCCCAATATTTTCTCATACTCTCGGGGTTTGTGTCTTCCCCCCCACTGCCCATATTTTCACAAATTTTCCTATATTTTCCTGGGAGTCGACGATTAATTGTGTCTGTGTGTTTTTTCCCCTCCTGATTTTCGCACTCCCACCCTCCCCGCGGGCTCCTGGCCGCGCTGGAGGACGCCGGGGCCTCCGGGAAGGCCGCCACGGGCTCCGCGGGCCCCCGGCGCGCCGCGGCGGCCGCCGACGCGGCGGCCGCCCGGGCGCCGCCGACGAAGTGGAGGACCTGGGCGGGGAGGGGGCCGCCTGCGCCTCCGGCGCCCGCCTCCTCCTCGTCCTCCTCCTCCTCCTCCTGCCTCTCTCCTCCTCCTCCTCTCCTCCTCTCCTCCTCGACCCCCTTCTCCTCCCTCCTCCTCCTCCTCTCTCCTGCTCCTCCTCCTCTCCTCCTCCTCCTCCTCCTCTCCCCTCTTCCTGCGCCTCCTGCTCCTCCTGCCCCCTCCTTCTGCCCCCTCCTCCTGCTCCCTCCTCCGTCCCTCTTCCTCTCTCCTCTTCCTCCTCCTCCTCTCCTCCTCCTCCTCCTCCTCCTCCTCCTCCTCCTCTCCTCCTCGTCCTCCTCCTCCTCCTCCTCCTCCTCTCCTCCTCCTGCTCCTGGTCCCTCATCCTCCTTCCCTCTTCCTCTCTCCTCCTCCTCCTCCTCCTGCTTCCTCCTACTCCTCCTCCTGCTCCTCCCGCTCCACCTCGTTTTCACCTACACATGAGGGGTGCTCTGAACCACGTCAGCGTCGTCGTCGTCGTCGTCGTCGCCGCCGCCGCCGCCGCCGTTGTCGTCGTTCCCCTTCATGGTCGGCGGCACTGGCCGCAAGGCCTTCGCCAAAACTACACAACAACTCCGCCACACATACTAGTGCCGTCCGGACTGGCAGGTGCGGGGGGCGCCACGATAATATATACAGTCGGACCTACACGACTCGTTGAACAGAAGTTGACGGTTTTGTCCTCGGCGCTTGCGCGGTCGGCGCGACTTCAAAGCTGGCACGAGGCGTTTGGCCCACGGGCAGGGGTGTCCAAAATCCCACCAGCCCTTTCGGGCGTAAGTGGTTTAGGGTGTTTCCTCTTCCACCCCCTCCTGGACCTGGACGGGGGGGGGTCCGCCACCGGTCAGAGCGTCCAAAACGGCCTCGGCGAGGAAACCAAAATCATTGGTGTTACGAAGGTTTTGGCCCCATTTTGGCATCTTGGGGGGGCGGCGCTAATCCCAAGGTCCAAAGGGTGCCCCAAGAGGGCCCCAAGAGGTGGCCAGGAGGCCCGGCCCCCAAGAGGCCCCCAAGAGGCCCCCAGGATACCCCCAAGAAGCTCCCAAGAGACCCCCAAGAGGCCCCAAGAGGCCCCCCAAAGGCACTCAAGACGCTCCAAGAGACCTTTGCGAGAATGCCAAAATCGCTGATTTTACAAAGGTTTTGGCCACAAGTTGGCCTCCTGGGGGGGCAAGAGCGCCTGGGAGAGCCCAAGATGACTTCCAAGATGGCTCAATATACCCCAGGATGTCTCAAGATGGCCCCCACGATGCTCCAAGAGGCCCCAAAACCGCTCCAATATGGCTTCAAGTGGCCAAAGAACTCCCCCAGGAGGCCCCAACGAGGCCAGAATCCTTCCAAAACCTTAGGAACATCCATGTGTTTGGCTTTCTCGCGATGGCTCCAAGATAGTCCAAGAGGGCTCCAAGAACGCTCCCAAGGCTCCCAAGAGCGCTTCAAGAGGGCCCCAAGAGGCGCCCAGGAGGCCCCAACAGACGCCCAAGATGCCTCCAAGAGGTTCCCAAGAGACCCCCAAGGGGCCCAAGGAAGCCCTCCGAGGCACCCAAGACGCTCTAAGAGGCGTCTGGGACCGCAAGAGGCCAACAAGACGCCCCAAGAGGCCTCCACTGGGGAACCCTTCCTCTGTGTGCTGCCCACTTCCCTGATCGAGGCAATTCCTCTGGGCCTCGTTTCTGGATGGGCTGGTGGGTCTTTTTGTTGTTCGCGAGCGCGCAGGAGAAAGCCAGGCGCCGTCAAGAAACGCGGCTAACGAGCAACGGACTAAAGTCCGCACAAGAGCGCACAGGAACGAAGGCTGGTGGGGTTCCTTTTTTTTTGTTTCCCAGGCGTCGCCGGCACCCGCCCACGAATCGCCCGTCGACCTCGGGGAGAGTCCAGGCTCATGCTGTGCTCGCGGGCGGCACGCTGCCCAGAGACTGTACCAGTGCCGGCTCGAGGCGAGGATCCTGGTGAGCCCTGCGTACAGGAGCTCGAAAACTGCCATGCTCTGCTGCTTCCACCTCTGGCGGCTCGTATGACCGGCGGGGAGAAATCACGAATTCATGTGAACAGGCCAGGCCCGCCTCAAAAAACGGAAAGGGAGAGAGAGAGAGAGAGACAGCACATGACCTGATTGTGGCGTTGGCTCGAGTTCGGCGCCCACTCTGTAAAGCAGAGCGATGACCGCTTCTGCTGGGCACACGATGGCTCTCACACCTGCTCCTCTCTGGGTGCGACGCCCGGCGGCGCCTCGGAGGCCACGGCGTCCGCGCTGTGTGCGCTCCTCCTGGCGGACCAGCACGACAGCCCGACGTACAGCAGCGCCGCCAGCGGGATGCCGACGAGCGGCGCGAAGAACACCGCCAGCTTCCCCGCGACCACCGGTGGCAACTCCACGGCCACAGTCACCGCCCACGCTGCAGCGGCAGGCCAGTTGGTGGAGCCAGCCTCGTCGGCGCAGCGCTCGCTGTCGAGCCCCAGGCGGGGCAGCACCAGAGTGTCCACGACCAGCACGACCCCGACGGGCAGCAGAAGCAGCCCGCCAAAGGCCAGGGCCTCGAGCACCTTCATCACCACCACCGGGAAGAGCGCCGCCGCGGTGCCGACCACGCCCAGGCCGAGGGTGACTGTGGGGGTGCTCCAGCGGGAGCCGAGCACAGACTGCAATGCGAGGCCCGCCTCGTACATGCACGGGTTCGCCGTGCTCCAGCCCGCGAGGATGATGCAGATCAGCCCGTTGATGCCCGCCACGTGCTTGGCCATGGGCCCCGGCGCCACGCTCTCGTTGGTGGGGTCACCCTGGAGCTGCACGGCGTACAGGAGCCCGGCCACGATCCACGTGAAGTAGTGGCCGATGAACATGCCGCTGGCGGAGCACCAACCGACGCTGGCGGTTTTGCCGTACCGCAAAATGGTCTGGTCGAGCTGGCCGAAATGCAGAACCAGATCGACGAACCAGCCCGCGCAGACGCAGTGGCCCAGGCCGTACCTCGAGTAGCCTCCCCGGGTCTGCCCGGTCCAGACCTTCTCGTTCGCGACCCTCCAGAAGGCCTCCACGGAGTCGACCTCCAGCAGCTGAAGGCTGCGCACGCCGAAATAGATGACGACGGCGATCATGTAGGGCGTGATGAGCATCGAGAACCGCGATACCACGTCGTAGCCGAAGGCCGCGGTCAGCGAGGTCACGGCGCCACAGAGCACCACGACGCCGACCCAGGCCCAGGAATCGGGCAGGAAGTCGTTCAGACCCGGCATGTCGACCTCAAAGAGGACGCCCACGGCGGTGCCGGAGACCGCGAACATGGCTCCCGAGATCACGGCGAGGATAAGACCACCGACGAGGGAGTACACCGTCTTGGCCTTCGCCCCGCACACCCGCTCCACCAAGTAGAACGTCGTCAGCCGCTTCCGCACCGCCAGGGGCGCGACCACGAACCGCCACGTGAGGGTGGCGAGGATGTTCCCGAGGAACAGCCCCAGCAGCACGTCCATCGCTCTCGCCCCGTGGACGACGAAGAGGGGGCCGATCGTGAACTCGGTGCCTGCTGTGTGGCGCCCGGTGAAGATGGCGAGGAAGCTGACCCAGCTGCGCAGCGCCCCCTCGGGCACGGGCTCGCGCTCGTATTCGCTCCTCCTCTTCTCGCCGCCCGCGGAGCCGAGGGAGCCGCTGCGGGAGAACAGGCCGCGCTGCTGCTCCTTCTCCTGCGCCGGGCCCGGGCGCGGCTCGGCCGCCGCCGCCGCGGAGGCGCTCCCGGAGGCCGCCATCGCGAGGGGCGGGGCCCGAAGCGAGGGGCCAGGGGGGTCACGAGGGTGACCCGCGGACTTGGCGCGAATTACCTTAAGCCCAGGTCGCTTGAGCCAAAGGCTACGGACGCTGGTGGGGTTACGCGAAGCGTCTAGAATTCGGCAGCGCCTTCGCAGCATTGATAAACGTGTTTTCTGACAAGTACTTGAGCTATCGGGCGCTTCGATTTTGAACGGCGTTTCAATTGATTTGTGACGAGGCTTTTGGGACAGAAAAGCACCTTCCAAGAACATGAGACCCTCCGCCAGCCAAAGCACCCCAAACCATAAGATCACTCGAGGGTACCCTCCCCAAGGATGCACGCGAACATCCAACAAGCACGGAGAACATGAGGGTACCCTATCCGAACGGACCTCGATCTTACACCTCGGTCCGATCGTACAAGGACAGTCCCCGACGAATGTTGCAGGTGCCTTCAGGGAAGGCGGCGGTGTGTACAGCCGCCAACTCTCCGTGGTGATATTGTGCACCGCCGCCCTCCCCTGGGGCCAACGAAAAAAACATTGGAGGGTGCCTGTATACATATATATATATACACATACATACATACATACATACATACATACATACATACATACATACATACATACATACACACATATATATACACATGTATATATGCATGTATATAAAGCATCGAACCAAGTCGCCCAAATCTATTACCAATATTGCTGCAAAGACGGGGACCCGAGTGAGGCCACGCCTCCAGTGTGATTCGGGCTAGGGGGCTCTCCTCTCCCCGAGGACGCGCAGGAGCTGGCGCGGCGGCCCTGCCTGGCACTGGAAAGCTGGCCCGGCTCAGGCCGCCGCTGCCGTTCGGCCTGGACCGCCCGCGCCGGCGCGTCGCTGCCGCGTCGACGCGGCGCGACCCGGCCGCGTGCAGATCGTGTGCGCCTCGTGGACGGCTCGCCGGGGGCAGCACCCGAGAGTTGCGCTCTGCATGGCCGTGCGCAAGCTCCCAGAGGCACCAGAGGGCGAACTCCAAGGAGCCACAGTATTCAGGTCGGGCACGGATGTGCTCCCACAGGCGGGCTCTGGACGAAGAAATAAAAAAACCCAACAAAATTTATCCCAGTGCGACCCTACCTGGGAGTTGGAGCCCCTAGGAAAGCAGCATTAGTAGTAACAGGAAAGCTAAGCTAAAGCTAAGATAAAGCTAAGCTGAAGCTAAGCTAAAGCTAAGCTAAAGCTAAGCTAAAGCTAAGCTAAAGCTAAGCTAAAGCTAAGCTAAAGCTAAACTAAAGCTAAGCTAAAGCTGAGCTAAAGCTAAGCTAAAGCTAAGCTAAAACTAAGCTAACGCTAAGCTAGAGCTAAGCTAAAGCTAAGCTAGAGCTAAGCTGAAGCTAAGCTAAAGCTGAGCTAAAGCTAAGCTGAAGCTAAGCTAAAGCTAAGCTGAAGCTAAGCTAGAGCTAAGCTAAAGCTAAGCTGAAGCTAAGCTGACGCTAAGCTAGAGCTAAGCTAAAGCTAAGCTAAGCTAAGCTAAGCTAAAGCTAAGCTAAATCTAAGCTAACGCTAAGCTAAAGCTAAGCTAGAGCTAAGCTAAAGCTAAGCTAGAGCTAAGCTGAAGCCAAGCCAACGCTAAGCTAGAGCTAAGCTGAAGCTAAGCTAGAGCTAAGCTAAAGCTAAGCTAGAGCTAAAGCTAAGCTAGAGCTAAGCTGAAGCTAAGCTGAAGCTAAGCTGAAGCTAAGCTAGAGCTAAGCAAAGCTAAGCTAGAGCTAAGCTGAAGCTAAGCTAGAGCTAAGCTAAAGCTAAGTTAAAGCTAAGCTGAAGCTAAGCTAAGCTAAAACTAAGCTAAAGCTAAGCTAAAACTAAGCTAAAGCTAAGCTAAAGCTAAGCTAAAGCTAAGCTAAAGCTGAGCTAAGCTGGGTGAACCCAGGGGGCGCAACTGGGGGAACCGCGGGGCGGGGACTGGGGGAACCGCCTGGGGCGGTTTCCATTGCCCGGCCCCTTTAAGCTAGAGAGTAAGAACCCTTCTAGGCAGAGCCTAGGTAGGGAAAATTCATTATCCCAGTGCGACCCTACCTAGGAGTTGGAGCCCCTAGGAAAGCAGCATTAGTAGTAACAGTAAAGCTAAGCTAAAGCTAAGAAAAAACTAAGCTAAAGCTAAGCTGAAGCTAAGCTAAAGCTAAGCTAAAGCTAAGCTAAAGCTAAGCTAAAGCTAAGCTAAGGCTAAGCTAAAGCTAAGCTAAAGCTAAACTAAAGCTAACCTAAAGCTAAGCTAAAGATAAGCTAAAGCTCAGCTAACACTAAGCTAACGCTAAGCTAGAGCTAAGCTAAAGCTAAGCTAAATCTAAGCTGAAGCTAAGCTAAAGCTAAGCTGAAGCTAAGCTAGAGCTAAGCTGAAGCTAAGCTGGCGCTAAGCTAGAGCTAAGCTAAAGCTAAGCTGAAGCTAAGCTGAGGCTAAGCTAAAGCTAAGCTAAAGCTAAGCTAAAGCTAAGCTGAAGCTAAGCTAAAGCTAAGCTAAAGCTAAGCTAGAGCTAAAGCTAAGCTAGAGCTAAGCTAGAGCTAAGCTAACGCTAAGCTAGAGCTAAGCTGAAACTAAGCTAAAGCTAAGCTGAAGCTAAGCTAGAGCTAAGCTAAAGCTAAGCTAGAGCTAAGCTGAAGCTAAGCTGAAGCTCAGCTAGAGCTAAGCAAAGCTAAGCTAGAGCTTAGCTGAAGCTAAGCTAGAGCTAAGCTAAAGCTAAGTTAAAGCTAAGCTGAAGCTAAGCTAAAGCTAAGCTAAAACTAAGCTAAAGCTAAGCTGCAGCTAAGCTAAAGCTAAGCTCAAGCTAAGCTAAAGCTAAGCTGAAGCTAAGCTGCCCGGCCCTTCAAGCAAAGAGAGTAAGAACCCTTCTAGGCAGAGGTAGGGAAAAACGATCCATGCGTACTCGAAAAATTGTCCCCAGACTTTTTTGTGACTATGTTTGACTCTTCCTCCTGTACAGGGACATGCCACACTTGACACAAGATGCCTCGAGCGCTGCCATCGATGACCCCAGGTGGTTCACAGAACGGCATCCGAAGGAGCGGCACCCAGACGGAAATACCAAGAACAAGGAGGCCTCCCGAACGGGGCTCGAGAACAGGGGGGCACAGGATCGAACCGCATCGCTAATCCAGCGCTGCACACCGAACCAATCTACTGTCGGCCCGTATCATAAGTATGCGCGATAAGAATGCAAAGGCCTTCGACGCCCATTTCGAAGCTTCTCGAGCGGGGCGCGGCCAACGAAAGTGGCCAAGGATGGGCCGATGAGGCAAGGATGCAAGGGTACCCTTGGGATGGTTATGCATCTTTACCATGCGGGCTTACTGTAATCAGGACCCCTTTTTCGCAGCCTGGAAAAAGCAAGGGAACACGATGTCAATACCAAGCGACGCTTCCTGCCCGCTTCGGAGCCCAAGCGGATCTCGCACGCGTGTCAGAACAACGCATGGCAACAACAACGAGCATGGTAACCCTGCTGCACGCGAACACAAGTACAACGGACGTTCGTCACAATCGAGCTAGATTGGACGAACTCGAAGTCGAACCGCGTACTTGCCTCGTCGAAATAATGGGCCGCAGGCAGCAGAATGATTCAAATGAGCGGCAACAAATGCGCTCGGACCTCTTGCTCTGCCCAGTCGTCCGCCAAGGCAGAGGCAGTATCAACCTGTACCCACATTACATGCTGATTTTCACTGGAAGCTTCGCTGTCGACTACGAGCTCAACGCTATGCTTGGCTGGTGCACTCTGTCGCCCATCGCAATCTGGTAACAAGATGCGATGCTATCAGTGTACAGATTCTAATGTTGTGGCCATTCACTTCATTTCACCGTACTCAGAGTGTAGCAGAACAGAGGCAACGTGTCACGAAATCACAACCGCATGGAAGGGCAACGCTGTATCAATTGTTTGTGTTGCTTCCGCCATCTCTTCCTCATTCTCCCTCACCCGACCAACTTCAACCCTCATTCCCTATACGCTCGCCCACGTGCACAATCTCACCATCCACTCTCCCGATCTGGGGAAAACAAAAGGTGGCATACTGACAATGCTACTCTCCGGACCTCTCCTGGGGTGCGTTCTGACCAGATTTTCGAGGCGAGTCCATCGGTGGTGATGAAGGCCTCCCAAGAAGCCGAGAAAAGTGAAAACGAGGCAAGGGCAGCGGTATGGGAACCCTTTCCTCCTCTCCCCCATCACTCCACCTGGCAGACCACCGCATGGCGTCTTTTCACCGCCGCGCTTCCTCTGCCTCATCAGAGGCTTCTCCCGCCTTTAGTGAAGGGGCCCTGGGACACACAAATAAATACACACAAATAACAGGATACCCCATATTTTCCCATATTTTCTGGGTTACTGTCTTCCCCCCCACTTCCCATATTTTCCAATATTTTCAGGGGAATCGACGATTAATTGTGTCTGTGTGTTTTTCCCCTCCTGATTCAGGGCATGAGGACCTGGGTGCTGGGGGGACAGGGCCTTGGACCCCCGACCCCGGAGCTTTCACCTGGGACCCCGACTCTGGACTCCCTCACGGCTAGAAAGAACGTCGCTCGTAGCCCTTCGACTACACGCAAGAGTGACCCTGGGTAAGAGTGACCTTTGGTGCGCGGCTTTTTGGGGGCCGCGGGGGGGGCCAAAAATGAGCGCACGAGACGCAACTACCGCATCGCGTTCGGCGATCGGGGGGCCCATTGGGCCCGCACCAAAGGTCACTCTGGCGAAAAGTCACTCTTACGTGTAGTCGAGCCCTCTCCCTCCCCAGGGCTTGTCTGCCCTGGCAGCTTGATCAGACCAGGACCGGGTTCACCGGCGGTTCTGAGCCGTTCTTGTGGAGGAGCCTGGGACCGGATGGTGGTCCCAGGAGCCCGGCATCGGTAAACCAAACACCAGGACCCCTCACCTGCATGTTCGACGGCGCACCAGAGGGGGAAGGCAGATGGGTGGGCCTTCTCCAAAGGCTCAGAAGGCCTCCAGCATTCTCAGAAGCGTTCAAAGCCTTCTCCGATGCCACAGATGGCTCCTCATAGAAGAACGAACACTCCACAAACATAAGCTTTTGGCGCTTCGCGCGGATTTCTTGGCTCTGCGCTGGACACCCCTCCCTGGCGCGCTCAGCGTGCCAGGGGTGGCGCCGGAGGCACCGCCTGGGGGGCCCAGCGCAGATCCAAGAGATCGGCGCGGAGCGCCAACAATTTATGTGTATGGCGTTTTTCCTTCTTCGACCTCACAATGCCGTGCCGTGTGGCCTCTGAGAAGCCCTGCCGCCCTCCGATAAGGCCTGCCCCCTCTCCACTCCACCCTCGGCGCGCAAACGACGTGTGCCTCATGCTGCCGTGGCTCCTCCCTCCTGACTCCGATCCCTCCCTGTCGACTTGCTTCCACTGCTGCCTTCCGCGTCCCTCCCCGTCCTCCTGCTTATGCCCCTTGTGCCCATGCCATCCCGTCTCCTTCGAGATAAATCCTACCTGTCGCACCCCCAGACGTGTCCGTAATCTGGGCTGGGCGTTTCGTCTCAGACTTCCTCGAGGAGGAGGAGGGGCAGTGGGAGGAGGAGGAGGAGGAGGAGGAGGAGGAGGAGGAGGAGGAGGAGGGGGAGGATGAGGAGGAGGAGGAGGAGGAGGAAAAACCAATGTGTGATCCTGGAGCTCGAAGATTGAGGCAACCTCAGAGATGCAGGCGGGCCGTTCTCGAAGCGGAGCTGCATCGCCTCGGTGCCTCGCACACTCGCCCTCAAAGTCTGCATCAACTTCCCAGGATGGAGGGCGGGCCAGTTTCAGCTTGCCGACCAGCGATACCTGGGGGAGCTGTGGTCCTTACACCCCTGGGGGAACCCATCGCATCGACGATCTCTCGAGAGGGGTGTCGAAATCGATGGGTCCCTCAGGGGGGTAAGGACCACAGCTCCCCCAGTTGTGGCTGGCCTGAGCATGGGCCTGTCGCCTGAGCACCGCGCACATCCGTCCCACAACAGCTCGGAGGGTGGTGACCGGTTCCTTGTCAGAGGGTGGCCCACGCCCTCGCGCCGCGCGCATTGGTCTTGCTGATTCGCAGCAGCTTCACAGATGGAGGTCGAGCCGTTTTCAGCGTGGAGCTCTCGCTTGAGCGCCGCGCTCATTCGTCCCCAAAGCTTGCAACAGATCCAAGGATTCAGGCAGGTTCCTTTCCAAAATGCGGCTCGCCTCATCTCAGCGCCGCACGCATTCATTGTCAACATTTGCAGCGGTCTCAAGGATTCGTCGGGTTGAAGTCTCTAGGGTTGAGTTCTGGCACAGCTTAGAAGTGTCGGCACGCAAAAGACAAGTGGATTCGCGGCGTTGAAATCCCAGGAATAGCGACCTGGCACGATCCAGGACTGTCAGGACACAGCAGTCGCGTTGACTCGGGGCGTGGACGTCCCAGGAATGGTGCTTTGGCAAGACCGAGGCTTCTCGAATAAGTTTAGAAATGGAGGAGTGCCCGGATCCGAACATGTATACTGTGAAACTGCTGCTTTACTGTATTTGTCTTGTCCTTCGAGGCAACTCCCCGTTTCGGAGTTTGGGGGAGGAGAAGTCCTTCCTTCCCCTGAACCATTCAACGGTTTGCTTTCAATAGGCCATTTCCTGCAATGCCAAAAAATCCTTGTATAGACCTATGAAGATGGAATGTAGAAGGAAGAGTTCTTGCAACATCGTTGATGCTTCCTGAGTCTTGAGTTTACACTGGTCTTCCTCGTCCTCATCCTTCCTCCTCCTCACGCCCGCCTCGCCCCCATCTGGGGGGAACAAAATACCGACACCGCAACTCCCCGGACCTCTTCTGGTGTGCGGTCTGACCAAAATTTCGAGGCGAATCCAGCGGCAAAAAGGCACAGCGGCATCGGTGCCGTTTCCGCGTCCGATCTCCCCTTCGTCCCAGGCTCCCTTCTGATCGGCCCTGAGGCCCTCCCGCGCCCAGCTTCGAGCCCAGCCTCCTGCCGAAGGACTGCCGCGCCGCTCTCGGCTGCCGACTGCCGATCATCCTGCCCAACCCTCGGCCCAACCTCCGACCTGGTCTCGGGAAACCCAGCCGGGCCCCTCAAGAGCTCATGAGCAGACTCCCAGAGGCCTCGCGCGGCAACCCAAGAACCAATGTACGTGGACTCAACGTCGGATTCATGTCGGGACCACGTCGAGCTGCCTCGGGCGTGCGCCGGCTTCACGTCGCATGCTTCGTCGACCTTACTCCAGAACATCGCCGCGCGAACGCCGTCCGACACCCGACGGGCCGGACGTGCGGACGAGAGGATAGCATCATTGCGGGCCGCGCGCGAAACCTCCAGGGTACCCAAAAGATCAAGTATACAGTGCGGGCGCGACCGCAAGAAACCCTCGCAGGAAACCCAACCCTAAGAACCCGTGCGCGAGGTGCACCTGAGGGGAAACCTGGAGCACCCTGAGCTTAGCAGCTCCTTCAACGGCTGCGGGAAGTCACCGCGCAGCGCGAGAAGCGAAGAAATCCAGGATACCCTGACGAAAAGCATACGGTTTCTTGATGCGCGCCCCCACTGCAATGTTTTTTTCAATACGGGGTCCCTGAAAATCTCGATCCATTCCCGAGGACCGGCTTTTCATCCTGAGTCATCTTTTGACCGTCCTGGGGCCAGGCGAGGGCCCCTAGACTGGCCATCGCTCGGACGTCCATTCCCTATGTTTTTTTTCGGTTTCGTGCGTGGTTTGTCGCAGGATGATCCAGAATGCTCCGTAAGAATCCCTGTGAGAAAAAGTGCACCCGTCCGAGCGATACTAAGTAGAGGCCAAAAACTGCGAAAACCCTTCGCCTTGATTTCTTCCACGCGTTGGATCCCTGGGCTTTCCTCCTAGAAACCCTTGCTGAAAGCCGCTTTTCATCCTTCGCGAGCACGCCCGAGACCGGCTCCGCCCCCCACCCCCGTCACGCTTCGCGCCGGCGTCGTCTGGGCATCAGCCATCCCTGCAGGCACTGCCAGACGGCACAGGCGCGAATCGTGATGCGACCGGCCCCCTCCTCCCCTCCCCCCAGGAGAGCCCCGAATCGAGTCGAAGTATAAGTCGGATCGGCAATCGAAATAAGTCGGATCGGAGAACATCGGCAGCATCGAATCGGCGGAAATCGGCAGGCAGGGCCTCCATGGAGAAATCGGAGCCAAAATCGGAATCCGAAATTGAGTCGAATCGGAATCGGAAGCCATCGAACTCGAATCGGAGGAATCAAAATGAGCGCTGTCCCCCCCCCCTGGCCAGGCCAAATATCGCCAGGGGAGGCGCGACCGTCTCCTCTCCCTCCCAGCCTGGCCCCCCTTGGGCCGCCTCCTGCCGCGGCTGCAGCCACGGGTGCTCCAAGACCTCGCTGAGACTCAACCTCCGGTCTGGGTCTGGCTCCATCAGCCCCTGCCCGCCGCCGCGGCGGATTGCGGGCTTCGAGGAAAACAGCGCCGCCGACGACGACGACGACCGGCCGACGACGACCAGCCGACGTCGACGACGACGGCGCCCGGCCGCCGGCGCCGACGACGATCGGCCGCGGCGACGACGATCGGACGACGACGACGACGACGACGAAAAACGACCGGCCGACGACGACGACGACGAAAGCGACGACGCGGGGAGGAGGAGATCGCGGCGGGCTCCGAAGATCGATGTTTCTGGGTATCTCCCGCCCTCGTTTTCGGGCCTCGCGCGAAGGCAACTGCGTGGGCACTGGTGGGAGCTCCCCACACCGAGACCCTGATCAGAACGCACCCGTGGACAGGTCTGAGGGAGGGAAGGTGGAGGGGGGGGGACGAGGAGGAAAAGAAAGGGGGATGGGTCAAAGGAGGGAAGGAAACGAAAAGGAGGGCGAAGGGGCGAAACCAGGAGAGGGGAAGAAACACAAACACATGATGATGATGATGATGATGATGATGATAATGATGATGATGATGATGATGATGATGATGATGATGGTGGTGGTGATGATGATGGTGATGAAGCTAATGATGGTGATACTGATGATGACGATGATGGTGGCGAACATGGTATGATGATGATGACAAAAGTGATGATGGCCACGCTAGTTATGATAATGGTGATGCTGGGAATGACGGTAGTGATGACGACATGACGACGTTGATGGTGATGTTGATGATGATGGTGATGAGCATGCTAATGATTGGTTAACTGATGAAAATGTAGATGATGATGACGTTGCTGAGGATGATGGTGATGATGATGAGGGTGGCGGTGATGATGACGATGCTGATGATGCTGAGGACGAAGATGGTGACAGTGATGATGGTGGTGGTGAAGATAACGAGGATGATGAAGATCATGACGTTGAAGATGATGCGCAGTTTGATGATGATGATGCTGATGATGACGACGGTGGTGATGATGACAAGGATGGCGATCACGAAGGAAAAAAAAGGAAATACGAATGATTAGCCAAGCGACGGATCCAACTTTATGCAGCTACCGCAGTCGTGCGCATCGTTATCGGCCGGGGTTCTTTCATGGGGGCACGAAGTGTGAAATATGTGCACCACAGTGGGATGGCGGCGGCACGCGGGCGCTGCCACTGGTGCATTCGGTGGAGTTTCCTTTAAGGCCTTCGGTGGACATTCCTCTGGGGGCCAAGAGCCGTGTGCAGGGTGTGCCAAATTGGACGCGGCGGGCGCATGCGAGCGTAACCACTCGGGCGTTCGGTGGAGCTCCATCTCGGGCCACGAGGCGTGTGGAAGATCTGTTTTCATAGGTATTACGGTTTCTTCTCTCCAACAATGCGACGAAGTACTACCGCGGTGAAAACATCAACCTTCTGATCTGCCGCATTGGAAACTGAACTGGGGTGCTTATGCAAGTTAAGCATGTGAGTGATGGTCACCACCTTACAATCTCCATATCTCGAGAGGAACTGTCCCAATTTCAGGAAGTGCAAAAACTTCACAGATTGATATACGCTTATCAAAATAAAGCTAGCACATTCGCATATTCGGCTCCATTCCCGAAGGTTTCGGCCAAGCCAGTCCAGCATGCGGTCATTGGGGGCATGCATGTACTTGCCGCGCGCAGTAAATCGCCAAAACCAATTGTGAACTACCCAAAAATCCTCGATCCCAAATGCGCTATAACTAGCCAACGTATCAAACGGATCGGTGCACGCACGTATAACGTTGATGTGCCCTTGACTTTCAAACTAAAAAAGCGCGGGTCCTGTGTGTGCGTTTTCCAAAGCTAACATTGGTTAAGGCGTGGGCCTCGCGAGCTCCATTCGCGGTGCCCTGTGCAATTGTCACACCTGCTTTCACGCACGCGTCAGTAACCAACATGAATCAAACTGTATCAACAGATTGACCATGCCGCGCGTCATACAACAAACGATTGAATTCAGCATTGGCAAGTAATGGTGCTAGAGACGTGTATGCGCCACCGTCGCAAACCATACAAAAAATGTTAGTCGACCGGTATATGTCCCATGGGGCAGTTTCCAACTCCATGCGAACCTCCGCATCATGCCCGGGACATGGTTTAGGGAAACATCTGTGTTGCGTATCTGGAACATACAAAAAAAAACGGATGGTGAATGGTTTGTGGAAGTAACGAGAAAAAGCGTGTGGGATGCGTCGCGTTCGTTCATTCTCTTTTGCTGAGCAGAACTGTCAACTCAAACTCAGGTCTACGAAAGCGACGAACAGACCTACGATGAAGATCCATGTGTTCTTACTCATTGCTCCGTCTGTTTCTTTCCACCCATAACGCAGCCCAGGAATCCGCGAGCTGCCTGTTGGCACCTGGCCCCCTGATGTGTGATGGCATCTGCCGAAAACATTTAACACATAGCAATCGGTTGCTCTACTCGCAAAATCTGGGCATGTGGAACGACCGTTTTTTCTGTACCCGTTGTCTTTCCTCCGTAAGAAGCCACCAAACAACGCCGTCAAACCGAGAACAAACTTTGATTGCACCTGGCATAGTCATAACAACTGTGGGATATGTCGAGCGCGTTGCCAAAGCTGTCTGAGCCAGTACGGTGACAACTCCCATGTATGTCGCCATCCCCATTGTCTGGCTTAGCCTTCCATTTCTCTTCTTCCTTCTTCTCCTTGTCCTTTCATCATCCTGATAGTTCATCCTCCTTTTCTCTCCTCCCTATTTCTCCTCGTCCTCGTCCTCGTCCTTCTCCTCCGTGTTATCCTTCTTGAGCTACTCATATGTCTCTTCCTCCTTTCTCTCCTTCCCCCCTACTGCTTCCTCCTCCTCTTCAATCCTCCAACTCCTCCTTTTGGAGGAGGTGGAAGAAAGAAGGGACCCCAAAACGGAACCAACACGGAATCAAACAACCGCAGGACAACCAGCGCACAAACAAAAACAATGCCTGGAGGACTCTCCCCTGAAACCTCCCCAGGGCTTGGTTGTTTGGGCGTCTTGTGTTCAGAAGTGTTGCTTAAGCTTTTCAGAGGAGACCGAGCACACAGTGTGTTTGTCCTTTTTAAGTGGGAACCGACAGAAACCTGATGATTGTTGTGTTGCTGGCAGCTGGGAGCCAACCAGAACTGTTTTGAACGCTTTTCAGCAAGGAGCCAACAAGCCATGGACACCCATACAAAAAAACGAAAAACATCCCTGTAGGACTCCCCCCCAAAACCGCCCCAAGAATTGGTTGTTTGGTGGGTTGGTGTTCCTTGTTTGTGTTCCGCTGGGAACAGCAACATGTTGTTGGTTGTCGTCAGCTGGGGGCCCACAGAACCTTGAGTCCCACCAGCCCTTTGCACGGCAGGTGGTCTAACGAGATTCCTCTTCCCTCTTCCATAAAAGCCCTCTTCCCCTACGGGGAGGGGTTTACCCCTCACCTTTGCCCCTCCCCTGGACTTGTTCGCCCCCCCCCCCCCCCCCGGCGAGGTGTCAGGGCGTCCAACTGGCCTCCTGAGGTGTTGGCACCATTTTGGCCTCTTTGGGGGGGGGCTGAACTTTATCCCACCAGCCCTCTGGGCGCCAAAATAATGGGTTTTACCCAGGTTTGGGCACCATGTTGGCCTCTTTGGGGTGAGGGGTGGGGGGCTGAACGCTATACCACCAGCCTTATGAGCGCCAAAATCATTGGTTTTACTACGGTGTTGCCCCCCAGTTTGGCCTCTTCAGGGGGGGCTGAACGTTATACCATCTCCTCCTTTGATCGATGGCCTTCAAGATGGCCCCAAGAGGCCTTCCAGGGCTCCCACGAGGGCCCCAAGAGAGCCCCAAGGCCCCAGAGGCCTCCAAGACGCCCAAGATGGCCTCCAAAACGGCTAAGATAGCCCCAAGATGCCTCCAATACGGCCCAAGATGCACCCAAGACGGCCTGAGATGGCCCCCAGATGGCCCAAGACGGCGCAAGAAGCCCTCAGGAGGCCTCCAAGACGGCCCAAGAGGCCCCGAAGAGGTTCTCCAGGAGGGCCCGAAGAGGCCAAAATCATTGATTTTCCTAAGGTGTTTGAAAGATGTTGGCATTTGCTTCTTCTCGACATTCCGGCGGCTCAGGACGGCCCAAGAGACCCCAAAAATCGCCCACGAGGACTCCAATATGGCCCCACGACGGCCTAAGAGGCCCCCATGACGGCCCCAAGAAGGCCCAAGAGGCATCCAAGACGGCCAAACCGGCCTCGAAGACGGCAAGGATGGCCCCAAGATGCATCCCAAACGGCCCAACATGCTCCCCAGACGCGTAAGATTGCCTCAAGATGGCGCAAGACGGCCCAAGAGGCCCCCAAAAGGCCTCCAAGACGGCCCAAGAGGCCTCCAAGAGGTACTCCAAGAGGGCCCGAAGATGCCACAATCACTGATGTTCGCAACGTTTTTGAACGATGTTGGCATTTGCTTCTTCTCGGCATTCCGACGGCTCAAGACGGCGCAAGAGGCCCCTAAGATCGCCCAAGAGGCCTCCGAGATGGTCCCATGACGGCCCAAAAGGCTCCCAAGACGGCCCCAAGATGGCCCTCAAACGGCCCAAGAGGCCTCCAAGACGCCCAACATGGCCTCTAAGAATCCCTGATATGCCCCAAGAGAGCCCTAAGACGACCCAGACAGGCCCCCAAGACGGCTTCCGACGGCGCCAGACAAGCCAGGAACGCCCGAAAACTGCCAAAGATGCCCCCAAGAAGCCCCCAAAGGCCCCTCAAAACCTTCGAAGAGGCCCCCAGGAAGCACCAAGGAAACCCCACGAGTGCCCCAAGAGGCGCCCAAGAGGCCTCCTCCTCCTCCTCCTCCTCCTCCTCCTCTTCCTCCTCCTGTTCCCCTCGCCCCCACGCGGCCCCCAGAGATAGCCCGAAAAGGCCCTCTAAGGCCACCCCCTTGCTCCCAGAGATCTCTCGGTTCATCCTGGTTGCTCGCTTTGTTTCCCTAGACGTGTCCGTTCGTCCCTTTTTCCCGTCAGCTCTCGTGGGCAGGGCTTCTGAATGGGCTGGTGGGGATACGCGAAACGCGAACCATCTTCCCACCTGGGGTCAAAACACATAGGTTCGTTCTGGTTCTGCGGTTCGGAACCAGCAAGCACCGAAGGACAACCAGACAAAAGACAAACAAACACCATCATCCCTGGAGGACTCCCCCAAAACATGCCCAGGGATTGTGTTTGCGTGTTTTGTTTTCTGGAGTGCCTTATTTTTTGTTGTTTTTGTCCAGCTCGGGGCCGCACAACCTAAGGAACAGCAGGCAAAGGCCTTCAGGATCTCTCTGAGGGCTGTCCTGCTGGGGGCGTGTGAGGGCCGCCGCAAGCCTTCTCAATGAATATGTGTTTTGATCGCACCAACTTGCTGTGGAAAGGCCGCTCGCCCTCCTTCAACAAAAAACAGGGGCGCCCAAGGCCCCTTTCCGTGTATATATATGTGTGTATATAGATACACGAGAGAAGGAGAGAGAAAGAGAGAGAGAGAGAGAGCGCACGTTTCATGGGCGCTTGCCTTGGGAACATTCGGCGGCGCATTTCGAAACGGGGGGTAGGTCCCCCCCACACTATGCGCAGTCGATCAAAACCGGGGGACTCCCCTCCCCCCACCCCCCCCTCCCGAACCCCCCCCCTTTCGGCGCCGGCGCCGGCGGCCGCCAGCAGCGCCGACGGCGGGGACGCAGCGACGATGACCAGAGGCAGCCCAAGGAGGGGGGGGTTCAAATCCCCCCCTGGCGCCAGCGCTGGCAGCGGCCAGCAGCGCCGGCGCTGGCGCCGGCGACGGCGGGGACGCAGCGACGATTAGCACCGCTACGACCACCAACACTTCCACCACCGCTTCAACCCACCACCACCAACATCAACCCACCACGCAACCACCACCGTCACCACCACCGCCACAGCCACCCCCACCATCGCAACCACCACCACCACAACTCGCCATCATCACTACCACCACAAAAACCCATTACCACTACCACCACCACTACCACAATCTACCATACCACCACCACACAGAACCACCACCACCACCACCACCACCACCACCTTCACAAACCACCGCCGCCACCACAACCCACAACCACCACCACCACAAACCACCACCACCACCACCAAACCACCACCACCACAACCCACCACCACCACCAGCACCAACCACCACCACCGCCAAACCACCACCACCACCACCACCACCACCACCCACCCACCACAACCTCCACCACCACAGCAAACCACCACACCACCACCACCACAACCACCACCACCGCCACCACCACCACCACCACAACCCACCATAACCACCACCGTCGTCCTCGTCGACGTTCCCCGCCGCCGCCGCCTGCCGCCGCAGGCGCCGGCGCCGGCCCAGAAAACGAAATCTTCGTCCCCGCCGCCGCGGGAGGAAGGGAGGGGGGGGGTCAGTTTCCCCCACCCTTTCAAGCGACCACCGAACGCGCTCATTCACATCTATATATATATATATATATATATATATATATATATAAGTGTGTGCGCTACGTGTGAATATGCAACTACATATTCATTTACATGTATATATACATATATATACACATACAAAACATATACATGCAGAAGATGTGTTACCCAGCGGTGATCCACAAAAGTGGTTCTCGAAGTCGACGCATTGTAATTGACTTGGTGTAATCACTGTTGTGCAATGCAAACACACGTAGTGCAATGTAGGTGGTGCAATATAGGTTGGTGCATCCAATACAGTGCAGTCTCCATCCAGGCTAGTGCAACTGATTCTAAAGGATTTGAAGTTGACAACACCACTGCTCGCGCAATCGTCCCACCAACCCACACACAACTGGGTTTGCAAAACCCATGCGGCGGCGATTGCGATTAGTGTTTTGTGCTGGCTGGCGCATCGCCGCCGCCGCCCTAACGGGCATTCTCGCGCGCAGAGCGGCCAACTAATTTGGCGCGATCGACGCGGCCGTGGCGGCGCAGATCGCCGGAAACTGCCCAACGCGTCTCGCAAGCCGCGCTGGCGCGCGGGCACATAAGTGCGAGTAGGTGACTCAAGCAGTCGGGCGACGTCGACAACGTCGGAAGCGATGATGATGGGAACGATGATGGTGTCAATGGTGACGATGATGACGGCAAGGCCAATGACGGCGCCGATGCTGGAGACGCCGATGGCGATGACGGTGTCACTTGTCGGTGACGAAGGTGTTGGAAGAATTTCGACATCTCGACGCGGGCGAGTGGCCCGCATAATGTTATGTGGCCCGGATCGTCCCCCCCTGGCAGGCGCGCAATGGCGGTCGCATGATTTGGACATGCACGTGCGAGAAGCTCGCTTGGTCGCATTTGATGATAATGTAGATGGTGTTTACATTCAGATAGTGCGGCAGCATTTGCCTGTTAAATGTTTCGGGTACCTAGGTATTTAAATCCATACGGCGCCTATGTGTTTGAGAGATTTCGGCATGCGCGCCCGACGACGCGTGCGAAAGGACTTTGTTTCCCCTGTTGCAAAAGATCTGTGATAACGTATGACTTTTGATAAACGAGTGTGCGCGCACAGTATTGCTTGACAGGGGTAAAGGGTGGCTAGAAGGGGTCTAGCTGGGATGGTGCGAATTCGTACTTACAATGAACGGTGGGGCAACATCATATGTAAATGTCAATATCCCAGGGGTACCGATAAAGCCTGGAGGGGTGGGGAGATCGTAACTGTTGTTAGCAGGGAGAATCATTAGAGGTGGTGCACTGTATACATCGCAATGCAATGCGATGGAAACAATGCAACGCAATGCGATGCGAAACAATGGAAAACAGATAAAAGCAGTGAGAGGAGCCGCAAAGCAGTCCAAAACAACGCCAAGCAATGTAAAGCAAAACAAGGCAAGACACAGCAATGTATAGCAATGCAAGGCAATTTTAAACAGTGCAGAGCAACGCAAATAAAGCCATACACATTACTGGGCTGCAGCGCAAAGCAACTCAAGATAATACAAAATAACGCAGACCCAGACGGCGACTGGGCGGCGACGGCGACCGCATAGCAGCCAGACAGACGGGCAAGCACATATCATCGGGCCACGGGTCCGCCCAGAAGACGGGCAGCGACGAGGCAACGACGGCGACCAAATAGCCGCCACTGCCGCCACACCGGCGGAAGCCCTAAATGCAAGCACTGTGGGCAATACATATATATATATATCTATATATATATATACATATCGTGCATACGCGCATACATATATACATATGTGTGTATGTGCAGGCGGCTGCATACCTACACTCTGAAATACATGTGTATACATATATAAGTATATACATGCATGCATGTGCGTGTAGGAAGAAAGCTGTATATGTATATATGTATATACATACATGTAGTAATTCCTTCCTCCTGATGTCCATATGCCACCGCCCAGAACAAGCGCTTCAGGGTACGGCGGTGGATGACGACGAACAATTCTCGCACGGCTTTGCAACACCTGAGTGATGGCATCCCTCATCTTCCTTGTTGGCTGGCGCTCAGCGAGCAAGCGCGCGTACGACAACGCCTGCCTGAATTACCCGATGCTGTGTAATACAAACGCCTATCTCATATCACGTAAAAAACAAGAGGACTGCCGATGATTGCTGAAACTGCAATGACACTCCTCCGTCCGACTCTCTGGCACGGTGGACATGCACTTCCCACCAGCCCGTCCAGAATCATGTCGCGCGCCTCGGCACTCACGCGCTGCCAGAATACCCCACGGAATGTCAGCTCTGTGATCTCCTCGCCCTGGCAGGGGAGCCCATGACTAGAAGAACAACAACAAATGCCTGTTCTGGCTCGAATCGGGAAACGTGTTTTGCTTCAAGCTAAAAATGCGCGCCGTAACCTGCTGCGTTACCTGGCCGCTCAACTGTTGACATATCGCGGCACCGGCACACCAAACTCCTGCCGTGGCGCCGTCTGCTCTGCTTTCTTGGAGAACGAGTGGCCCGTTCAGCCGTCGAGTTTCTGCTCTGTCGGAGGTCCCCACAAGCTCTTTTGACCACGTACTGGTACAGTGGAGGCCCGACCACAAGAAACCTTCCACAAGAAACCCATCCCCTGGAACCCCAGGACGCCATTGTTTTTTGGCGTGGGAACGTCACGCGTTCCATAGCAAAACCATCTGGAGGCAAGCAGGGTGTTTCTTGGCATGGGCCTCCACTGTATGCGTGTCGCGCGAACTGCTTCTCGGGGCCCCAGGGCTCGAGATGGGCGCCGCGGGTTGCTCAGCATCGAGCAACCCGCCCTGGCGTCGCCGCCGCGTCGAGGCTGCGCGAACCTGTCGTACCACTGCATGGGCGACGAGAATCTCGAAAACAAGAAGGGCAGCCAACGCAGACTCCACATCGATCAGAAGACTGAAATGAAGTGGACTGGAGTGGACTACAATAGACTGGACTAGACTCTACTCTACTCCGATCTACCCTGTGGTGCCCAACTATTCCTCTACCGTCAACCCTACTCTACTCTACTCTCCCCTGCCCTACACTGCCCTGCCATACCCTGCCCTACGTGACATTAGCATGCTCTAGTCAGCATGTTGTTATTGTGGGCTTCGGCACTTGGCACGAGGGAGTGTGAGGAGGGGGTCTGGGCCTGGGTCGGTGCTCAGTCGATCTGCTTTGACCCGTCGCGCAAGCAGACTGGGCGGGGGGAGTCCCAACCCGTCGCCGAAAGCAGCTGCCCAGAGCAGCCAAGGCGTGGTCTTCAGGGGGGGGGCAGGGGTGGGGGGCGCGGGGGCCCGCGCCGATCGGCGAGACAGTACATAAAAAGAAGCTGCCATGCTCTGGTATGCTCGACTCCTACTATACACTACTCTATTCCTTATCGACTCTCCTCTAGTACACGTTCCTGTGCTCTCGTATACTCTGCTCTGCACTACTTCACGCTACACTACTCTGCTCTGATCTAGGCGACTCTGTTCTTTAATAACCGACTCTGTGCTACGACCCACCCTACTCTACTTTACTCCTCTACTCTGTCGTACTCTATTCTACCTTAGCCTACTCAAACCCACTCCACTCTACTCGCCCCTAACCTATCAAATGTACTCTACTCCACTCCTGCTCTCCTATATTCCGCTACTCCTGTATATTACTAGAACGCCATCTGCCCTGCTATGTTATACTCTGCTCCAGCTACCCGACTCTACTCCAACTCTGATCTACTCTACTCTGGTCTACTCTACCCTACTCTGCCCTACCCTACCTAAGCTACCTTACCGTACGATGCCCTGCTCTACTCTAACATACGTCTGATCTGCTCTACGCCTGCTCTACTCCACTCCTGTTCGACTCACCCTACTCTGTTCTACCTGACTCTACAATACTCGATGTAGCTGTACTCTGATCTACCCTACCACCTACACAGCTCTACTCGACTCTGCTCGATTCTACCCTTCACTGCTCCACCCTACCTTAACCCTACTCTACGCTGCTCCTACTCTTCTCCACACCTACTGTACTCTACTCTACGCTTCTCTTGAGCCATGGGGATAGCAGAGGAAGCCATGCGGATATAGAGGAAACCATGCGGATAATTAGCAGAGGAAGCTATGCGGATACAGAGAGCACCATGCGGATAGCAAAGACAGCCATGCATAACGGAGGAAACCATACGCACCAGAGGACACTCGGAGGAAGCCATGCGCACCAGGAGAAGCCATGCGCAGCAGAGGGCGGGCGTGTGTGTGTGGGGTAACATAGAACGGCATGCGAATAGCAGAAGAAACCATGCGCAACAGAGAAAGCTCAGAGCAACCGAGGACGCGTGCAGGGGCAACATAATGGTAAAGGTGGACCAGTGCTATATGCATGAAGCTCCCACGACCAAACCTACTTTTTATATGTATATATATATACACATATAAATACATATACATATATATATATATATATACACATGATCCAACAGAAAGGCGAACGGCCCTCGTGCTGCTCGCAAACTGACTAAATCGGCACTTCGCCGTGCAATCCGACCAGCAGACGTCACTCGATCGAATTTCAGAATATTACATTAGGGGTCAAGCAAACTGCGTACGCGTATAAACAACGAGACGCTGTCGTCGGAATTGTCTCGACCATGGTCCGACCCTGGAGCAGCGTGACACAAACTAAGCGAAACTGTGAGATGCATGCCCTGGCTCTGGTAGTTGGGAGGAATGGTGTCAATACTGCGCCAGGCTGCGCAGTGGAAGTGAACGAACATCTGGAGACGAGGCGGTCCCTCCCCCATCTAGGCGCTGCCTTGGCTACAGGATCTGCTTTAAGACCCTAGACTCCAATCGACTGCTTCCACGATGCCGATTACAGGGCGACGCCTGGGGCATTCCCCGCGTGCCGCTCGAGCCGGATGGCCCAGTAACAAAGAGAGATCCTCGGGCGGATGACGGCCAGCAAGCATGGCGAAGAGGGTAACACCCAACGCATAGCTGTCCACCATCTTGCCGTCTTGACTTGTGCGAACTTGCCCTCGGCTCATCTCAGGAGCACGATCCGCAAGAACCCAACGAATGTGGTCCACCAGGCGACGCCGATTCACGCTTCACGGTAAGAGAGATGAACATGCATCTCGTCCATGAGACCACTGCCCGACTAAGAAACAACCCTTGTTCACATGGCGGAAGTCGATGAGGCCGAGGCGAAGGGAGATGATGGCGATGGGAGAAAAACGAACATGAGGAGGCACGGGGAAGGGGCGGAGGACGAGGACGTCGAGTCAAAGACAAGAAAGAATCAGACAAATGCCCCAGCAATCTCGGGTACGCCGACCAGAGCATTGAGGCACAATGAGCCCTCCCTGCAGAATCTCTGAGAATCTCTCCAGCCCTTCAGGACGTGAGTGGTTTAGGGCGTTTACCAATCGCTTCGCTCAGTCCGCCAGCCCGTATTGTGCCATCGTCGGCATTTGCGTGCGCGTTCGTAGGCCATGCTGCGCTGCCGGTCGGCGCTGCTGCGGTTGTTGGTGAGAGTCCTCGTGGATGCTTCCTGGCGTCTCTTCGGAGGGTTCTTGGGGGGCTCCTGTGTAGCCGTTTTGAAGACTCTTGGGGACCTCCTGGGGGCGCCTCGGATGTCTGTTGGGGCTCTCTTGGCGCCTCTTGGGAGCATCCTGGACACTCTTGGGGGGTTCTTCGGGGACACTTGGGGCAGCCTGGGCGCCTCTTGGGGCTGAGGGGTCGAACTGCTCGCTCGGCTTCCTCCTTTTGGGCCCTCTCTTGGGGCCGTCCTGGGGCTCTCTCTCCGTCTGTCTTGGAAGCCTCTTGGGCCCTTCTTGGGGCCCTCTTGGGGGTCACTGGGGCGGATTGGGGGCTTTCTTGGAGGCTTTACGGTCCGTCTTGGAAAGATTTTAGGGGCCTCTAGGTCTGTGTTAGAAAGCTGAGACCTGGAAAACCAGTTGAACATCGTTGAATTATGCCTCTAGGAAGCTCCTTGGGAGTGGTATTGGAGGCATCTTCAAGCGTCTTCGAGGCGGTTGAAGCCGTCTTGAGGCTATCTTAGCTATCTTGGGCATCTTGATACGACATCCGTTGACTCTGGGCCCTCTTAGACCGCCTTGGGGGCCTCTTGCGACGCTCTTGACGGCCGAACCCCCGAGAGTTCTGGCATCCGTGACCGGCACCGCCCCGGGACAGCCCAGCAATTGCCCGGGGCCCGCCCGGGATTTGCAGGGGCTACCTTTTCGTCTGGGGACCCCCAAACAGGGGCAGCCACGCGCGCGCAAACTGGCCCGCGAATTGTTCCAACCCCCTCCTTCCCCTTTTCGGGGACATGTGAATCAATGTTCCTTAATACTATACACACACTCCTCCATGCGACTGGTCGCCAACCAAAAACAATGCCGAACCCATGCTCCCCATCCCCAAATCATCCCACTCAGAAAACAATGCAAGACACAGTCCGTTTTCCAATTCGGAGCTTGCGCAACCAATTTGATGCGGGTCCCCCACCACCATTGATCCCTGCCAAACAACAAAACAAAGTACACGATCGTGGAAATTCTTGAGTCATGTTCGTGATGGCCGCGGGTACTTTGTGTTGTTTTATTGACGGGACGGCGGGGGCGTCAGCATGTTGCCTGCTGTGCGCAAAACCACCATCCATGTCAAACAAATCATACAACATGCACCTCGCAGCAAAATGTGGATCGTGCGCGGCCACCCCGCGGTCACTGTCAAGTAGTTTTTGACAGGAACGGCAGGGGTGGTGACGCATGGTCTGTTGTGTGCAAGCCCACCAGAAACGATGATGGGCAGTGGGTTTCGAGAAGGATGGTGGGGGCTGGCATGTTTCCCGATGTGCGCTGTCACGTGCGCAGGCGCACCTGACACACTCTGCGCGTGCCCCGAACGTGGTGCACCTGGCGCGGATGGAGTCTGCGGCAAACCTCGCGAACGTTGAGCACGTAGCGCATATGGCGCACCAGGCGTGCCCGGCACGCTCGGCCCCAGTAGTGCCTGGCGCGCGTGGCGCGCCTGGCACGCGTGGCGCACCTCGCCCCACCGTCGCGCATACGGGGTCGGTTGTGGTTCCCGGTAGCTGCCCATCCAAAAACGACCGCTGAACTCACGCAGGCTCGGATGTTACTTATGCGTTGGGAAGGCGGGTGGGGGTGAGCTAGACGATTTGCTCTCTAGGAGGGTGCACGGGGGAGGGCGCGGGTCGTTCGAGCGCCCTAGATGGCGTCGGCGAGAAGGCCGACATCATTGGTCCCACGTGGGTTTTGGACCCACGTTGGCCTCCTGGGGGGCTGTAGTGTACTACCCCCCTCTTTGATCGATCCCCTCCTAGAAGGCCCCGAGATTGCCCCCGAGGCTTCCAAGAGTGCTCCAAGAGGGCCCCAAGAGGCGCACAGGAAGCCCCGCGAGGCCCCTGAAAAAAAAGGTCCCAAGAAGAGCCCCAAGAGAACCCCACGAGGCCCGAATAGCCTCCCCGGCGGCACCCCCAAGACGCCTTAGAGGCACCCGCGGCCGCCAAGAGGCCCTCAAGACGCCCCAAGTGGGCTCGCATAATTTTCCAAGACGCATCCGAAGATACTCCGAAAAGGCATCCCGAACACCTCTGGTCCTTCTGTTTGCTCTCCTCCTCCTCCTCATCCACCTCCTCCCCTGCCGCGGGTTCCCCGCCCCCATCCCCCTCCCCCTGCTCTTCCGATTCCGCCTCCATCCTCCCCCCTTTTCGGGGCACAACGACGTCGCCGGCCTGTTTTTGCACTGCATGCTCACACCCGTCCCTGATCAGGGCAACTCGCCTGGGCATCGTTTATGGATGGGATTGCGGGGCCTGTCGTTCGCGAGCGTTGCGGAAGAGCCGCATGCCGTCAGAAAATCGCAAAACAGCATGCCACAATCAAAATTAAGCCGCACGCGCACAGGCGAACTGCGCAGGCGCTCAGCAGGCGAGGAGGACCAGGCAGACCACCAGGTCCACGCGCAGCGCCAAAATGACGACGAAAAACAGACCAATGTAATCGATGACCACCGCCGCGTAGCCGAGGAGGACGTAGGCGACTCCGGATCGCCAAGAGGATTGGCCAGAAGACCGAGTGCGCGGAGACATCGCTAGTGGGGTTACGCGAAGCGTCTAGAATAGTCACGCCCCTTTTTTGCGTTCCCCTTTCCACTGCTTTTGTCAGATCCCACGTTATCATCCCCCTCCCCCATTGTTGCCAGCCCCGACCCCGAGGTCCCAAACTTGCCCAAACCGTAATAATCGTTGTTCTCTTTCGTTCTCCTATTCTGTGCCAAAATGCTTTCCTCCTCGTTCTCCTCGTCCTCTTCGTTCTCCTCCCCGTTCTCCTCGGTCGTCATCTTCGTCGTTCTCCTCCTGCCAAAATCTTGAGGAGGGCGAGGACGAGAGGGCAAACTGCTCGTCCTCCGTATCAGGGCACACGCCAATATGGACTGCAAGTCGGTCGGAAGAAGTAAGTAAAGGCATGGAATAGGAAGGCGGCTAAAGTAGATTGGGCTCAGCGCCGCCCAGAGAAAAACAAGGCACGACAATAGCAGATCGATTCTAGAAAGAGGAAGGCGCTTGAACTAGATTGGGACCTGGGAATCCAAAAATATATTGCACCCCGCAGTTGCGGATAAAAGTGAGGGGGCGGCGAGGACGCCGTCAGTCTGCGAGGTTTTGAGGAAGCCCGCCGCAGGCGCCAAACTTTCACAAATTATGAAGTGAGCCCGCCGCAGGCGCCGCTTTCTTCGTTAAAGCAATGTGGGTGGATCGCGGGGTGGGTCGCGGGTGGGTCGCGGGTGGGCCGCGGGCCGGGTCGCGGACGGGTCGCGTATGGGTAGCGGGTGGGCCGCGGGCCGGATCGCGGAATGGGACACGGGGTTGGTCGCGGGTAGGTCGCGGAGTGGGTCGCGGGCTGGGTCGCGGGGTGGGTCGCGGGGTGAATCGCGGGGTGGGTCGCGGGTGGGTCGCGGGGTGGGTCGCGGGTGGGTCACGGGCGGGTCACGGGGTGGGTCGCGGGTGGGTCACGGGCGGGTCACGGGGTGGGTCGCGGAGTGGGTCGCGGGGTGGGTCGCGGGTGTGTCGCGGGGTGGGTCGCGGGGTGGGTCGCGGGTGGGGTCGTGGGGTGGGTCGCGGGGTGAGTCGCGGGTGGGTCGCGGGCGGGTCGGGGGGGGACGAGGACAACAGCAACATCAACAACAACAACAACAACAACAACAACAACAATCATTTAAGACTGGGGACACTCCGTTCTCACCAGTGCCAGGGTTTTCATAGGAGGCGGGCAATACCCCCACTTTGTGGGGGGGCCGGTTCAAGCTCTACCAAATTTCCAAACGACTCTTCGCCACCACCCACACCCAGCTTCCCGCCCTATGACGTTCGGACACTTCACTTCGTGGCATGCGGACGACCGTGGCTACTATTCAGGGCCCCGCGGCCGACGACGACGGCGTGCGCGCGCGAAGAAAAAACGAATGTGTCCCATATGGTATTATTTGACAGGGATGATGGCCCTGGCATGCGCGCAACCGTTGTTGCAGAAGTTCGAAGCACGTGAAAAAGTTGCTCGCAAGAGCCCGTTTGACAGAAATGTTGAAAAAATATTGGGTTTCCTCAGAAATCCGCAAGAGCGCGCAAGATGATTTTTTGAAACTTTTTTTTGAAAAACCATTGGGTTTTCATGTTTTTATGTTAAAATCGCTACGAAAACTAAGGTTTTGGAAGGATTTCATCTTGCGCGCGCGAGTGTGCACTTCGTGTCATTTTTTGCAAAGGATTCTTGAAGTTTGGTTATGTTAGAACAAGACATGTCATTTTATAGTGTTTTTTGACAGGGAAAGCGGGCGTCAACAAAACAACCGGATCTGGATGACATCGTTTTACCTGAGACTTCCTCACGAAAATTATGAAAATGTGGCTGCGGCCTAGGCGCGGGGGGGGGGGCGTGCACCAGGGGGCCCAACAATAATTATTCTTTAGAATTAATAATGTTCAACAACAGCCACAACCACAACCACAACCACAACCACAACCACAACCACAACCACAACCACAACAACAACAACAACAACAACAACAACAACAACAACAAACAATAATCCTCCCCGCGGATCCCCACTTCAGCCACGCACCCGGGAACAAAGAATGAGCGTTCGGCCCCCTCACTCTGACCTACTGTCAACGACCAGCGAGTACCGATCCGTGGATCTGGCGCGTGGGCGCCGGATCCACAGGTCGAGAAGACCATATGGGGGGGACGGAGCGGGCTGTGGGTGCGTGTTGTCGGATGGGAGTCCCCGCTCGAGCGAAAGCCTCCCCCGCGGTCCAACAGCCCGCGCCCATACCCATAGCCAATCCTCCTCCTGCCGACCTCCCCTATGCGTGCAGTCAACCCGTGGCACAAGGATGCGCGGTAAGGACGCAAACGCCTTGGAGGCCCATGTTGACATCTCGAGCGAGGTTGGCGAGCGAGAGCCGCTCAGGACGGGCCGAAGGGGCAGGGACGCAGGGGCAACCCCTGGGAGGGCTGCCCGTCCTCATCACGCGGGCTGACTGCACGGGTTTGTGCGTTGTTCGCTCGTCGGATACGTGGCGCTGGTGCCGCCCGATCCGACGACGGAGCGCGCCGATGCCGCAGGGCAACAGGACCCGCCACCAGTCCACGCACGCACCCGAATGGGAGCCGCGCGTGTGTGCGCCAAGATCTGCTAACCTCCGCCCGAAGAACAGAGCTCATTTTTTTGTTGAACGCACCACGCTCGCGAGCACACCGCGAAGAATGTGCAGTCGGCCCGCATCATAATGATGCGCGATGAGGATGCGAGGGCCTTGGAAGACCACCTCGAATCTTTTCGAGCGGGGCGCGGCCAACGAAAGTGGCCAAGGATGGACCGAGGAGGTCACCGCACAGTGCGCAGTGGAAACTGGGAACATCAATTCTTGGTCATTTTACTGTCCCCGGCTTTACAAATATCTGCGCTTCCTCGACGCAATGACTGTCCGCTCCCTTGTCCGTGCCAGGCAGGCGTGCATCGCTCCCCTGTGCGGGAGGAAGCGGCAGGGGCTCCACATGGGATGCACTGGTGAAGGAGACATCTCGGAGGAGGAAGACAGAAGAGTGAAGGATTTTGTAAGGATTGCCGCCATCACAAACATAATATAAGGCTAGAAGCTCAACTAACTTTGGGAGCACATCGAGAGAAACTATATCTGGATGCTCGCAGCGCGTCTTGGAAAATAGGCACTCCGATGGGCTCCACGAGATCCCCCCGCCTTAGCTTGGACTGGCCGGAAACACACAGGTGCCGCAGAACCAAACTCCGAGCGCATCGTAACAGAATGCTGCGGCGCGCCCAGTCGGGGGAGGCAGGGGGGGGGCCTTCTGAGAAGCCTCGGAGTGCCTCTGGCCTTCTGGGAAGCTTTCGAAGTCTCCTCCGAAGACGCACAGCCCCCAGCGATGTGTAAGCCCGTCGGCGGGAGGGAGTCTGGCAACCTGCCATCGACGGCCTCCATGGGCGAACCGCCACTCTTCAGCCACAGACGAAGGGAGGGTTCGAGCAGGGGATCGACTACAAACTACAGAATTGATCCACCCCGACATTTGTTTTCGGGCCGAATTTTCAACAAACGAACGTCGAAAATTTGCGGATCTGCGCAGGTTCTACGAATTGTTTGTGGATTCGACCAGAAACGCCAAGTCGGGGGTAAAGCAAATCTATCGTCGATCCCCTACTCGAAGGGCGAGTGGGGTAGGAGAAGGAGGGCAAGGACCACAGAGAGCATGGCGCACGCCGGAAGAGCGCGACGCGGAGCGCAGAGGAAAAACGAGGAACAGGGCGCGTGCCGACGAGGAGATGGAGGACGAGGACGACGACGAGGGGAGGAGGACGAGGACGAGGACGAGGACGAGGAGGACGAGAAAAGGAGGACGAGGACGAGGAGGAGGAAGAGGAGAGGAGGGCGAGGGCGAGGACGAGCGGAGGAGACAGAGCGCAGGAGCCCAACCGCCAGAGTGCCACTTGGAAAGACTTCAGCACCTCCCTCCTTCTCTCTCTCTCTCTCTTTTCCCCATCCTCCTGCTCCTTCTTCACGCACTCTCTTCTATATACTCCTCCTCCTCCTTGTCCTCCTCCTCCTTCTCCTCCCTCATTGACCCTCCTATCTCCCCAATCACCCTCCTACTCCTCTACTCGAAGGACGTCAGCTATCCACCAAAGCCGATCTTGGCTGGTGCGCTCCAAGATCCAAGGATCCCACGTGTGCACGGACAGGATCAGTGAGGTGGATAGGTGACATTCCTCGAATCTCCTCTCCCACTGCCTCCGACCCCTAAGATCTGCGGCACGAGGTGCAACCTTTAGCATACCGCCGGGTGCCCACCAACGGTGTAGCGGCACCGCTGGAGTAGCTCAAATCCTTGCTCAATCCGAAGTCGCATAGCTTCACGACTTCCTCTCTTGGGCTCCACGAATGCCGACGTGCCCGCCGAAACAATCTCCGAGACGCATGATCCGCCTCGCTTGCCTGCTCTTGAAGGACTTGCTCACCCGTCGGTGGGAAGACGTATGTAAAAACATGAAATATGAAGTCGGATCAAATAGATTGGGTTCGGGCCCGCCCAGAGAGTAACAACACACACCAAATGCACTGCTCAATGCTATCGTGTCGGAAGGGCAAAACTATGGTTTGAAACATAATTGGGATAAAACTGTACAGATGCCGGTGTCGCCGGACAACTTGGTGGCCAGGCCGACTGGGGAACCAATCAAACGTGTCGCTGAAGCAGGCGACTTGGGAGGTTTGATTACGCACGATGGGCGAGTTGGAAGCGATTAAACTGACGTCTGGGCGAAGGGAAGGGGTATTCTGGCAATCATGCTAGATCTGGAATCAGGCTTCAATTAGCAAAGCAGGGGAGGTACAAATCTACACCAGTTGCGAAATTAGCAGATATTATACTCACTGGATTCGTTATGGCTTTTGACGACTGATAGAGCAAGGTTGAACGCGTTCCCTTGCAGATGCTTGCGAATATATTAGGTATTCCTCATTCCTACGATCCGAGAATATGAAACGCCACTGGATCGGAGCCACTCTCCTCTATTTCATGTGTACACCAAGTGAAGCTACACACAAAACAAAAACGCTTCTCAACAAGATAACTCCTTGGAAAAAAACAGTGGTGTGCAACGGCGATGGCACGCCCAAGAACTGGGCTTACCGACGGCGCAGACGTAGACCCAGGCAACAATGAACACAATCCGTCCACAAGCTGGATCAGGTGTGCGTGAAACTGTTTGTGTCCACCCTCTCCCCTCTTCCATCTCTCCCCCCTTCTCTCCCCCTTCCCCCTGCTTGGCGCGCCGGACGCAACCCTGGCAATGTTTTAACCACGCTTTCTGCCCACGCGTCCTTCATGGATGCACGGCTTTCGTATCGCGGCAAAAGTATATCGGTTCTCGAAGTAGGAAGGCGCTAAAGTAGATTGGAATATGGGAGTCCAAAGGTGCCTATTTTCAGCGACCGGCGTGTACCTGTTTCTTGCTGCCTCGACTCGTACCTCTGTGCACCTGCCCCTCCGGAGCGATAACAGGGCCCCGAGCCTCGCCCCTCCCCCCGAAGCTAGCGCAGATGCAGCGCATCCCAGACATTCTGACGCCCGCGCTCTGAGCTGCGAGGGCCACGCGGACGGCGTGGCACAACGGCCTACGTATTGGCAGCGGTCATTGGCGGGCCCCGATACCCCCCCGAAGCTAGCGCATGCAGCATCCCTGCTCAAGGCCTGGCACAAGGCATTATGGCGCGGAGGAAAAGCAGGAGGAGGAGGAGGGGGAGGAATAGGAGGAAAAGAAAGGAGGAAGAGGAGGACACCCGAAACGGGTACGGAAAACTGGGTACAATGCCCAACAACACATGTTGTCCAACACCGACAGCGGCCGCTGTTATGGCAAGCGACTATTTGTCTTCAGAGAACAACACCAACGGCGGCGCGGACAGCGAGTCCTGTTTAGAATGAACAGGATCTGCTGTTGGGCATCGTACTTATTCTTTCCGTACCCGTGCCAATCGTCCCTAGTAAAGGCCACGCGGACGGCGTGGCACAATAGACTACGTATTAGCAGTGAATTTGTCGAGCCTCGACCTCCCCGAAGTTAGCGCATGCAGTGTATCCCTGCTCTCAATGCTTGGCACAGGGAGATGAGGCGCCAGCGCTCTGGGCTGTACAGGCCACGCGGACGGCGTGGCCCAGTAGCCTGCGTATGGGCAGTGGTGCTTGGCGTTCCGCGGGACCAAATCGTGAGCACGCGCTGTCACGATACAAGGCCCCTGGAAGCCCAAACCGAAGATGAAGCTGGAGCCTCATGGCCCGTCGCGAAAGGTCGGGATGGGCCGAGGGGTAGGGATGCACGGGCATCCATGGACGGCTGCTGTGTTTCGCTGTCAACGCAACTGCTCGACGAGCATACGTCCCAAGACGAAAATACTGCCCAAGCATGTACAAGATCCCCTTGAGCAACCAGAGCGTGTTTGTATCGAGTCGCCAGCTCTGACCAACATCGTCAGTCAAAAAGCAGTGCAAAACCAAAAGTATATCTTTCTTGCGAATTGCATATTCGACTCATTGGGACATTATACGGCCAAAGCACTGCACATCGAACGCATGCGATGCAACGTGGCGAAAGTCACTTGAACATCTTATTCAGAAGATGCACACGGATGAATAGGAGTTGGAGGAGGTTCAGTAGGACGGGTACATTGAGACTTCCACACATAGAAACATTGCCCTTAAAAACATCTGTATCGTTAACGGTAAAACTTCCCCCTCCCCCATTCGCCTTCGTTATCCCTCCTCGCCATCTCATCCATCACTCATCCCCCATCATGCCATCCTCCTCCTCCTCCTACTACTCCCCCTCCTCCTCCTCCTCCTTCTCCTCCTCCTGCACCTGATCGTGATCCTCCTCCTCCGCCTCCTCTTCCTCCCACTTCCTGCTCTTCTCATTCCTCCTCCTCGTTTATCGTACCCGTCCTCGTCATCGTTATCCTTCTCCTGCTCCCCCCCCTCATTCTCTCCTCATCACCCCCCCCCACTCCTCCTTTCCTCTTCTCCTCCCTCCTTGTATCCGCCACTGTGCCCCCTTGCACGTTGAGGCGTGCTAGAATACCATGTGCTGTCTGGTAGGGTTGTTGTTGTAATCTTCTAAGGGGCCCCTCCCAACAGCACCTCTCCCTGGGCGGCCATGGCGCCTCCCTGGGGCTCTCCAAGGCTTCCATGACGGCCCAAAGGCCCCGAACACGATCCAAGAGGGCTCCGAGTCGCCGAACGATCGCTCGAAGACGCCCAAGATGGCCTCAAGATGGCGCAAGAGCCTGTCAAGGTGCCCCAAGAGACCTCGAAGAGGTCTCCCACGAGGGCCCCCAAAGCACAAGTAATTGATTGTCCTTGCGTGTTTGCCAGGTTTGGGCGGTCTCGCCTTTTCGGCTTGCGACGCTCCAAGAGGACCCAACATGCCCCCCAAACCGCCTCAAACCGGCCGAAGAGGCCTACAAAGGGCACCAAGATGCCCTAAGAGCGCCCCGAGACGGCCCAAGAGGCGCCAAGACGGCCCAAGAGGGCTCCAAGACGGCTCCCAAAGGAGCCCCAGAGAGGGAATACGAACCGAAAATCCGAGCCTTCAACAAGGGGCCCACAGGAGGTCCCAAGGGGCGCCCAAGAGGCCCCAAGAGGCCACCAAGAGGCCCCAAGAGGCCTACAATTCCCCCAAGAGGACCCTGTTTTGCCCCTATGAGGCTTCAAAACTGCCGCCAAGACGCTCCCGAGAGGCCCCCCCACGAGATTCCAACGATCGCGCCGCATCGCCAACGTGGCGCCATCGGCAAACCCTCAGACGAGGCCAGGACAGTCACAAAATCGGACATGAGTAGATCTGGGATCTTTGAGATGGGGCGGTTCTGAAGAACGCATCGGACGCCACGGCCTTCTCAAAACGTCCAAAAACGCTCTAGCGTTCCAGAACGCTTGAGGCAACTCCTGGGAGGCCTTCGTCAGAACGATTATTAAGGATAGCAGGCACGAATTAGGGGCCAATAAGCCTAAGCCAGATCAATCCAGATTAAGCCCTGGCCCGGGATCAAGCCGTATTCAATGAGATGAAGTCGGATTGCGCGGGAACTAGCCGGATCAGGCAAGCTTTCTAGCAGGGATAAACCAGCGCCGATTCAGAATTAAACATCCCACGAAATGCATCCTGGGGCCCTCCCAAGAGGCCCGAAAAGGGGAAAAACGAGGGAAGGGTAGCAGTATAGGTATGATTTCCTCCTGTGAGACACGAATTTATTACGGGGAGACGTAGGACTCGGGTACGGGGAACTTGGTTTCTCCTGACGAGGCCATCATGAAAATGACGATACTCAATCTGAAATTTGACGCGAGCTCCCGCTGCAGACATTCCACGAACACTGCATGGACCGTCAAAATCCGGGACGCGCTCGTCAAAAAGTGCTGGCAAACCTGAGTTCTGGCGTACTTGAGTTTGACGTTTCCACGGTAATTACCCTGTCCTAGGCCGCCTACCCGAGACCCCACCAGCCCGGACCCCACGGCGACCCTTCCAGAAGCTCCGCCAGGCCAAAGGTCACAAAAGGAGGTGCCCGCGAAGGTCCTGGGCGACCAGGATAGGCTGCACAAGCGCACAAAAAGCTCCAATCCTCAAGCTTCAGAGGGGGGAGGATAACACTACTGCTGCGAGAGCATTTTTTATGCGTGGCGATCGACAGCGTTACGTAGGGGGTGGGAGGGAGGGAGGGCACGGGGGGCACACCGAAACGACTCCTCCTCCCCAGCTGTGCGTGTCCAGCACCACAGGATGTGGGGCGGGACGCACTGGGGGGGAATGCGTTGCGTTATGGGATGGGAAGGGAATGGGGAGGTCATAACGCGTGTAACAACGCCCAGATGGTAAACTAACCAAAACCCCTACCCTTCTCCCCTGGCCACGGCTGGACTCGCCTCGAAATCGTAGGCACAACGCGCCCCCGGAGAGGTCCACGGAGCCCTGGATCTGCCAATGCCCCCACTGTGGCAGGCCCGAATTCTGCATGGAAAAGATGGGCACGAAGCTGGACAACAAATGTCGTCCAGAGATGACCGCGGCCGCTCTTGGGCAGGAGCCTTTCTGGATGCAGTGGACAACGTCCACGACGACACCGACAGTGATTCCTATTCAGCGCTGGGCAGTACCTGCTGTCGGCCGTCCAATAGGCCTCCTAGATGGGGTCGGAGTAGATGGCGTCGAAGGATCGCGCCGCATCACCGATGCGTCGGAGGTGCATCGGCGACGCCGGCGGTACACAGGCGCCGTCGGCATGAACAGAGTCGGGCTCCATATCGAGCCGCAGCAGTGCGTCCTTTGGGAGGACTCCACCTGCTTGAAACAGGCGCTGAAAACAGCCAAAATCCACTCCATGGGGGAGGGGTGCGAGGGCCCGCGCAGATCGTCTGGGAGGCCCAAAGATTCTGTTCAGAATGGGCAGGAACTGCT